TTCTTCCTGAGAGCCCCATTCAGATTATTATTTGGTTCAATATGGGCTGCAATGAGAACCATCAAGCTTCCACTCTCGATTTTTAGATGGTTTTTGAGAATACCCCTTATATTTTTACGAATAATTTTTTGAAGATGAAAGATGGTTGTGTGTGTTTGATATGCAATAAAATTGGCAGCATGAAGTATTGTTTGCATGCGTTTTCTTTGACAATTCAATTCATGTATGAAAACTCCCACAAGCCACGTGATTTGGTCATTATGATAGCGAAAAGTTTGCCCTAACTTTTCCAGCGACAATAACGGAACCAAACTTTTGAAAGCATGACAACCATCCATAGTTTGATGAATTAAATAGTCTTACCGAATTACACTTAGCTTTTTTTAGAAGTGAACTTGGCATTTATAATTCGGATTTTGTTGCCAATAGGTGATTAAACTCGTCAAATTGCCAGGCAACAAAATTTTTATTGATACATGTCAAGTTTACTTCGTCAAAAAAACAGCTCTCGTGTAATATAAAATAGAAGAATGTAGTATTTGATGTGCAATAAAATTGGCAGTATATAGTTATTCATTATACTAAGGAAAAAAGTAGTAGATTTTAGCTCCAGGTTGTGTTGTCTCCCGACGCGTAGCGGAGGGAGACAAAAAACCGTGAGGTAAAATCTAATATTTTTCCCGTGTATAATACACTATTTTTTTCTGAGACAGAAGAAAGAGCGAATCAATATTGAGAAGATATTACATTATTTCAAAATCTGAAAATTATCGACGTGAAATTTTGAGTTTTTAACAGTAGGGACACCTGCGTTAAAGACATCTTTATCATTCTCTTGAAGTAATCAAATATCTGATGTCACTTCTGTCAGTCTAATTCTGTGATTTGATTTCAAAAAATTGCGAATTTAGTGGTTGTTTAGTAATATACGTAACCGCGAAGTCGAATGGAAGATAAAAGGACTTGCAGTTCTTTCTCGGAGACGGTATTATTGACTCATTTTTCGGAACTATAGCACAACAAAAGCCATCAACAGTGTATATATATATATGTGATATAAAGTACTCACTTTTTTCCCACGGGAAAAAAGTAATTTATGAAAAGTGACATTTTATAACCTGCCAACAGAGATGAAATGCCAAACTTTTTTCCCATCACAGAAAAAAGTATTGTTTGCATGCGTTTCCTTTAAAAATAGAAGAATATAGTAGCAAGAACGTTCACGTTCTATACACTGAATTGATGAAGGCAGAGCAGATCCAGGGTTTTCTTCAAGGTACAAGATCGTTATTTATCACAGTTTCTAAAATTATGAGATTTTTGTTTTCATATAAAAGAACTGTATCGTCTGCATATATGGTATAATTACTTGCTAAACCAACTTCCGTGATATTTTGAATATAAAGCAGATACAGTGTTGGTCCTAAAACAGATCCTTGTGGAACACCCTTATTTATTGACAGTTTATGAGACTTAAAATTAGCAGATTTAGTACTGATTGTCCTATTTTCAAGATATGAAGCTAAAATATTTCTCACGATGCCTTTGAGTCCCATGGATTCCAAGTTACCCAGAAGTATTGTTAAGTTAAAGCCTTTTTTAGATCAATGAAAACAGTTACTGTTATTTCCTTCATCAATTCCTTTTTGAATTGCTTCTATCACTTATAATACAGCCGCTTGAGTGCCACTATTTTCTTGAAAACCAAACTGATTTATATCGAAGCTTATTTTACGTGGATGAAATTCACAATTCGTTTCTTTAGAATTGTCTCAATAATTTTAGAAAATATGCTCAGTAAGGCTATTGGTCTATAATTTGTTGGATCTTGGATATCTCCACTTTTGTATATAGCCATAGTGGAAGGAGAAGATGGTGTGCTCAACTGAAAGCTAAAACTCGTCTTGTTCTGCGCATGACGTCAGCTGGGATATAACTGTCATTGATATTATTTGTTTTCGTGATTGATGTCTCGAACTTCAGATATTATATAAGTACTAAAATTGAATGAAATAATTTCGAAATGCCTACTTCGTTTCTGGTTATGGAAATTTCAACTAACATACAAAAGGCACAGATATTGCATTTTTCTGCTTTTCCAAGAACGGAGACCTAATGAAACGATGGGAGCTTGCTGCCGACAGAATATAAACTCAAATAATGGTACCTACCTTATATTCCTTATATTCTCACCTATCATATTATCATCATATTCATATTACAGTACGTATTTCTTCAAAACATTTCCATGCAGAATGTTCCCAAACAAGTGCGAAAGTACGGTTCTTGAATTACACACCTCCAAAAAATCACAAATATTTAAAACAAGATACCATTCCTACAGAACATCTTCCGAATATCAAGTCAGAAATGATTGAAAATGAATTCAAAACTCTTAATTTCTCACAAAATATAAATTGCAGCAAAAATTTGAATAAAAAAACGGCAAAAATCGATACTCCTGTTGTCGATGTCGGAGCAGAAGCAACGTCAATCTGTCAGAATCGACACAGTAGTGGATCATTCAGATGCAGATGCATGATAATTCGTATGTATTTGCTATTTGCGATTGCGAATTACCTCAGGATCACAATTTCCAGAATAAATGGAGTAGTAAAATCGAAGGAATAGAAACCTGTTTATATAAATTGAATTATTTTTAAACAGATCGAGAAACTTATAGAAATTTCAATAAACATGATTGAATTCATTGCGCACGCCCATGGCAACGGTATCTATCTGTGACTAGCAGCTGATATTGGTATCCCAGATGACGTCACATAATATGCGCGTAGGCACACCATCTTCTCCTTCCACTATGTATATAGCTCTTATTGAAGCATGTTTCAACTCAAGTGGAAAAACTTCCTCTCATGAAACACTCATTCGTCAATTTAGATATAGGTTCAGCTAAAATATCTTTCAATCATACATGTCTTCTGTAATCAAACCTTATTATTTCGCTTTCATCAGTGGGAAATAGAAGCATTGTGGAATCATTATATTGACGTCTAATATTTTGACGTGAGATTTATTATAATAAGTTTCAATTTCTCTAGCTATATTTTCTTCAGCATTCGGAAAATGATTATTCATAATTTTTGCTACCTCCAGATCATCATTGAAAATGTTACCATTAATGTTGATCGATTCAATATCATTTTCTCTGTATGATTTTGTCGTACCTTTAAGTTAATAATTTATCGTATCCCACAGTTTTTTTGGATTGCCCTCAGAGTTTTCAAATGATATTGATTACAATCATCACTGATTAAATAGTCTTCTTAACACACGTTATATAAAATGCAGTCGACTTCAATAGTTATCAGTTAGGGTTAGAACGAAATATTGAAATGTAACAAGCCAATGGGCGTGTACACCTTAGTAGAATATTTAACCCAAACCATGTTTATAATGATCCTTTTATACATAAATAATGATTGACGACATAATTCGATCGAAAAATTAATTGGAATGTTTTATTTTTAGACATAAATAATAATACCTTCTGAAAACGGACCCTCTTATGACGCAGAATCCTCATCTCGCCATAGTTAAAAGAAAATACCAAACGCCCGACGGAGACTGAGGCAACCGATATATTAATTCTTTCAACTGTGATCTCGCGCTAATTCACTCAGTCAGAAATCATGTATCATTCATCTCTGTCTGGAAAAGTCTTGTTTCAGTATTAGGGTTTTGACGTCACACCATCGCCTCGTTTTCAGAGGTCCGAAAAATCGGGTATTTCAATAATTTGTTATAAAACGTAGGGAGCTCACAGCAAGAAACGGTTTGCGGTGGTGAGCTAGTTTGAAATGAAATTTTTTTGTGATATAAGCCCATTGTCTCAATAATTTTAGAAAATATACCCAGTAAGGCTATTGGTCTATAATTTGTTGGATCTTGAATATCTCCACTTTTGTATATAGATCTTATTGAAGCATGTTTCAATTCAAGTGGAAAAACTCCTCTCATAAAACACTCATTAGTCAATTTAGATATACGTTCAGCAAAAAATATCTTCCAATCATACATGTCATCTGTAATCAAACCTAATGATTTCGCTTTCATCAGTGGGAAATAGAAGCATTGTGGAATCATTATATTGAGGTCTAATATTTTGACGTGGGATGTTATTATAATAAGTTCTAATTTATCTAGCTATATTTTCTTCAGTATTCGAAAAATGATTATTCATAATTTTTGCTATCTCCAGATCATCATTGAAAATTTTACTATTAATGTTGATCGATTCAATATAATTTTTTCTGTATGATTTTGTCGTACCTTAAAGACAATAATTTATTGTATCCCACAGTTTTTTTGGATTGCCCTCAGAGTTTTCAAATGATTGATTACAATCATTCCTGATTAAATAGTCTTCCTAACACACGTTATATAAAATACAGTCGACTTCAATAGTTATCAGTTAGGGTTAGAACGAAATATTGAAATGTAACAAGCCAATGGGCGTGTACACCTTAGTAGAACTTTTAACTCAAACCATGTTTATAATGATCCTTTTATACATAAATAATGATTGACGATATAATTCGATCGAAAAATTAATTGGAATGTTACATTTTTAGACATAAATAATAGTACCTTCTGGAAACGGACCCTCTTATGACGTAGAAACCTCATCTCGCCATAGTTAAAAGAAAATACCAAACGCCCGACGGAGACTGAGGCAACTGATATATTAATTCTTTCAACTGTGATCTCGCGCTAATTCACTCTGTCAGAAATCATGTATCATTCATCTCTGTCTGGAATAGTCTTGTTTCAGTATTAGGGTTTTGACGTCACATCATCGCCTCGTTTTCAGAGGTCCGAAAAATCGGGGATTTCAATATTTTTTTATAAAACGTAGGGAGCTCACAGCAAGAAACGGTTTGCGGTGGTGAGCTAGTTTGGGTGAGTTCTATCGAATTATGAAATAAAATTTTTTTGTGATATAAGCCCATTAGTAACGGTCCAATGAAATCGAAACTTACCAACAATATCCTCTCTCAGGATCCGCATGACATGTAGGAAATTCTTCGAGTTCATCGAACACATTTCGTAGCTCAAGTTCAGGGTCGCCGTAACGTGGAAGCTGAAGCAGTCTAGATATTTCATGAGCAACGTTTCGGCAGCGTCGAGACATTCTTGAGATCCCGAATAAATTTTTCCGATTATGAGCCTTTGGAATCGTTGTAGGAGTTTGATACTGGGAGAAGGGTTCTTTTGACACGGAAATTTTCCGGAAGAGCTGAATTCTTTGACCGTGGATTGTGTAATGATACTGCTGTTTCTGAAAAATTCGAAGAAGTGTTGTTATCAGTTATAATTGCACAAATGCATAAAAATTACCGATAATTTTGCAAAAAAGCTTGTTATCCAAGAATTACAAGAGTTTATTTTCATATTTGAAAGAGTATAAATAATATGCTACAAGGCATCCAGATTGTAAGGATCACTCACCAAAACGTGAATTTTTTTTTCACTTTTTGAAGTATATCTGACATTTATTTGTATTGTTTACTGGTGTCTAGCGGTTTCAAATGTGTTGTTATGGCGACGGGATGTTTTCGCAGTGCAATCTTCTCTCTGCAGTGCAATTACCGCTGTAGTTTTTCGATAATTGCATTGCTCTTATGAGCCATCATCGTTCAAAATATAATTTTGTAGGACAAGTCAAATGCATTATTATTTCTCATATCAGATTATGAATCAGTCAGGATAATAGGCAAAACCACACGCGTGAGTTCAATTTAAATTTGCATATGACTGAAATAATTAATAAAGTTGTGAAATAACATGAAAAAATCGTTTTTTGGCAAAAAGCATATTTTGAATACCTAACAATTTCATAAAATGTTAAAACACAGCATTTATCGCCACCTTCATTAAACCAGTATTGTCGTAGTTCATATCCATAACTTCAAACTGTCAGTGTGATTTGATGTATATAAATAGATGTACAAAAATTACTTCCTATTGAAAGGAATTTATAAATCCCCAGATTCGGAATGTCATCTTCGAAGTTATGTTTTATGCCTAGAACAATTTTTTTATGTTGAATTCGTGTTTACATTTCCATATTAACATTTTCATAATCACATTTTCATATTCACCCAAGAATACTCACTAAATAACCTGTAATAATAATTCATACTATCTCTCTTGGTACAGAAAACATACGGTTTCAGAGATTTTTATATGATCAGGACCCGCAAATATTGCAGCAACGACAGTTCATGATAAAAGTACAATATACTCACTCTCAACTAACACAATATCTCCCTAATATTCCACTAATGATTTTATAAATTATGAGACAGAACACTCACACAGAGTTTTAATCATTACTACTGACACGATTTATAATATTTCAATTTGAAATTTGATAACAATGGGCGTGTACACCTTAGTAGAACTTTTAACTCAAACCATGTTTATAATGGTCCTTTTATACATAAATAATGATTGACGACATAATTCGATAGAAAAATCAACTGGAATGTTTTATTTTTGGACATAAATAATAGTATCTTCTGAAAACGGACCCTCTTATGACGTAGAAACCTCATCTCGCCATGGTTAATACTGACACTTATCACTGTTGCCATATCATCCAAACAAAATATCCGAGAGATCGAAATCGATATTGATATATCTTTTGATATCCACTACCACTACTGCAGAAAAATATATTCAAGTTGTCGATTGTAGGTTGAATCATTGGAATATAAACAATCTCTAGACAACGAAATGTCTCAATCTCAAAACCATTTGCACCATTACAATTTCACAATACTCCAATATATTTCATAAACGCAGCAACATTGCTTTGTTGACCCGTTTCACATGGAGCTGCGAAAAGTTAATATAGGTTAGAATTGATCTTCTTCTTGTTCTTATCATCTTTGTCCCAAAAATCAACTTGCCGATTCACCAATCTGGTGCTTTGTCAGAAATCATGTATCTCTGTCTGGAATAGTCTTGTTTCAGTATTAGGGTTTTGAAGTCACATCATCGCCTCGTTTTCAGATGTCCGAAAAATCGGGGATTTCAATAATTTTTTATAAAACGTATGGAGCTCACAGCAAGAAACGGTTTGCGGTGGTGAGCTAGTTTGAGTGAGTTCTATCGAATTATGAAATAATTCGGCAATATATTTGTTCATCCTTGGGGCTCTACAATATGAAATTATGGACATTCATAGCACTTTTTTGATGAAGCACACAGAAGCATAATTATTAAAATCGTGAATACGCCAATCTTAATTGGGAGCTTTTGAACCAGTGGTGGGGAAACATTTTTTAAATAAAAATCGACAATTACAAAAATAAAAACGTGTTTGCTTACTTCCTATTGGAAGGAGTTTATAAATCCACCAATGTTGATGTTATTTTTTCATCTGTTATGAAATATGTATTTTCTGAGGGTGCTTTTGTCATGAGCTGGTTCGCACTATATCTACTTGCCTATTACTCACCTGACCAACTGTCTCACTAGATATAACAATGGAATGGAAATATGAGATGAGGTTTGCTCAAAGTTCTCATCGGCACTTATAAGTTCCGATATATCTATCCCTAGTGCCTCGTTCAAAGCAGTTTCGAGACCTCCATCGGCCATCAAACTCCATACTAACAGGTCTGTCATGAACCTGTGTCCAGATTTACACATCTTAGGTTCCATATCTAGAAATTGATTTCAGTTTTGTTTTATTTTTTATTACCCGTGAGTGGTTCAGGTAGCTTTCTGCTTGAACGCTCCTGAAGTGAATTATATTACCAAATAGTATAATAATACTCCAAGTATTATTATACTATATGAACTACTCCACTCCACTTTGAGACAACATGGACTTCTACAGTAGGTTAACGAATTATATTATCTGGTTATACATCATGATGACGTTTGATCCACCAAACAAAAATGGCAAATGTATTAACAGTGTACTAGAACGGCAACACTGTTTGAAAGATGTCTATAAGAACGACAACACGGCGATGGACTTTTCTGATTGGCTGAAAAATGGAGGTTGTCATCCAGCGACCAATTAGAAAACATACCGCGGTGCAGAATGGGAAATTGAAGGAGAACAACAAACATTTGACAAATCACATGATTATAGGAAACATATAATGACATTATCCCATCAGGTTGACAGGTACTCGAAGAATATACCCGTTGATATAGTCTGAAATCCCCATATGAGGAAGTTGGGCTCCATAGTCAGAATAAACAGAATTTTTGAATATGAACGAAGCCTATTCGTCCTGAAAGTTGAAAATTCTGAAAAATTCGACTTTCTAGTTCAATATGAAACCGACGCCATTATAATACAGAAAAGTTTAAATTCCACATATCTGATTATACTCTACCAGTTGATCCATTTTTAGATGAAATTGTTGAAAAAAAACTTCGAAAACACAAGAAATATTATCCAGTTTTTTTTCTAAAAATCCAATAATTTCGTGGGCCCACTTATTTCACATGAGTAAAATCAACATTATCACAATAAATTTTGCATCGCAATTTGAATGAAGATTCCCAACAACCTCAAATAAGCTAAACAACATGCATATCATCTACACCTTTCACTACTATCAAGTTTAATTTTGAACGCCATGTTCATGAACTCCTAAGTCACCACACGTAAATAAGTAGGTATAGTCGATCATGAAACACGGTACATATTCGTTTTTCAATCCCAACCAAATGACAGTAAACCAAGTAGAAATCTCAGTAAATCCTCCCATGTTTAGGTGATGAATAACGTCATAATAACTAAAATCAGACCACAATTCGACTAGAATCAGGGCAATTTCATCTAATTGTTCCCTCGACCTATTGGTCAAAATCCCCTAATATCCCTATTATCATCTTCTGAATTACTTGCAGTTTTTTTCTCATATTGGTTAATTTGAGGTAAATGAGACATAATATTTACTTTGGCCGAATTAGTCGTTGACCTATTCTAAGGTCGAAATGACGTTTATTATACCTAAGATGTTTGTTGGGCCTGTAGCAAATAGAAGGAGAAATTGAAACAGATAAGTAGGTAGGAAAACACAGATTATAGAATGAAATTGTAAAATTCGATACTGATATTTATAATATGAATAATGTTCAATCTATATGTTAAATCCAAAGTTGCTTCCTTGTGCCTCCCAAGTCAATGTATTAGTTCTTTTCGAGGTTTCTTTATTATCAATAAGTTCTTTCGAAACTGTTCACTGCTCTTAACAATAATATGCAGATACTTTTTCATAAGTCTACTACTATTTCATTTTTTTGTGGTGTATTCCATCTCATGACTTTTTTGACAATATAGTTTATAATATAAAAATGCCGAAGCGAGTAAACTACCGAAATAAATACTATGTCGACACATATATAAGGTTGTCTCTGATAGGATCCTTCCACCAATCAAATGAGGTCTTCTGAAAATCACAGCTACCAAACTCAGAGTTTACTCAGCTAGAAGATTGAAATGCAATGGATAAACAGTAGGTGCCTTAACAATGACTAGCTGTTAATCAGCTAGCATCCAGTTTTAACTCATGATTGTTAAACCGACCCTAACTCAAAATTTCATATGTTGACAAATGCAAGTTGATCGAGGTGGTGGAATATTCATTACTTAGATTTTTTGGGATTTTCTCTGCTCGTTTCTATGAATAAAAGTTAAAGTATTATTTCAAACTTGTGAGTGCTGCAAGAGAAAAATGAGAAAAGTAAAATATCTTTCTTGCAATATCATCTTCAATTATTCAACTCTAATAAAAAAATACACAGTGGAAATAAGAATGTATAGTCGGACATTTTGGGAAGGCAAAGTCTACCATAAAACGTTTGTGAGACGAAATGTATATGTTCATTTCATTTCAACTTAAACTGCTTGAAGGTGATAAGAATGAGATGAGTGACAGTTGTCCGACCAGCCCTAATTACAGTAAGACTAATGTCTTTGAGAATACAGGTGGGGTGGAAGATTACTGTAGTGCCGATATGTCCGTACTCAATTCTGTCTAAATGTGAATAGCCAGGATCGGATTTGGAAATATTAAGAGATCAAGCTTTTGTGATCTCGGTATGGTAGAATCAATAGAATTTGTTAACATGAGTAAATAGGTATTGAGAAGTATAGGATTATTAAACTACAATAACTGTATTCGAAATGAAACTATATTATAGCTTTATCAGGTACATATTCCAACAGTCGTCAAGTTCTCATTGGTCTGCGTCCGATGCGGATGATAAATCTTCATTCACATTAATTATAATAGGTAATATTTGGCAATTTAATAAGGCCAACTCCGAGTACCTCTCTGTTAAACCTACCTGTTTTTTGAAAAGAAGTACCTCTAATCGGCCATCCTTCTCTGGTATAATTAATTCTTCCGTAACCTTAATCGTAGCTTATATTACAAACAAGTGGAAATCGTTTGGACATATACAGTGTGTCCACCTTAAGGACTTACCACCCCTGTTAAATCGGTATTATCCGACCAATTTCAAAAAACCTTTTTTTGTTGGATAGGTATTTGAAATACCCATCCAACGAGAGAGTGATCTAATTCTTTGACTGTTATCGTGGCCAACTGCGACAAATTTCAATGACCCATATTCCAGAAAGTACTATTAGAGATTTTTTTCCACGAAACTTGATGATGGATTCTGAATCAGTACCACTTGATATATACCTGTACCGATTTTCATCATCATAAAACACAGGGTGTCCGAAAAAACGAATAATCATTTTCATCAAATAGGTGATCAGCAAATGTAGTTCTGTGGTTTTTCTAGGAAGAAATAATCCCAAATTATCATTGAGGATTATTTCAAATATACCTGAACCAATTTTCTTCATTTGAATATACAATATGTCTGAGAAAAAAACTAAAAAGCATAGGTAAGCAATATTTTTCATCCTGATAATTCTTCACTCAAAATGAAAAAGATGAATCAGGATCACTTGGAACATACCTGTACCGATTTTCATCATCATTAAACACAGGGTGTTCGAAAAATCAAATTAATATTTTTTTTGAGTTGATGAAAAAATATTGCCTTCTTTTTCTTTTTGATTGTTTTCTCATATACATCGTATTTTTGAATGATGAAAATCGGTACAGATATGTTCAAAGTGATCGTCAATGATAATGTGTCTTCAATTCTTCTCAAAAATACCACAATACTACATTTTCTGATCACCTATTAAAAAAAAAACATAATTCGTTTCTTCGACACCCTGTGTTTTATGATGATAAAAATCAGTAAAGGTGTTATGTGATCGTGATTCAGAATCCATCATTGTTTTTTGTGAAAAAAAATCCCTAATAGAACTTTCTCAAATATGGATCAATAAAGTTGGTCGCAGTTGGCCACGATTACAGTTCATGAGTGAAATCACTCTCTTGTTGGATGGACATTTACAATACCTATCCAACAAAAAAAAGTTTTTTGAAATCGGTCAGATAATAAGAATTTTACAGGGGTGGTAAGTCCTTAAGGTGGACAAATTGTATATTGTATCTCACCAACGCTTTATGGCGGATTTTGTCCCGACTTTACCTGAATTCAATAGTAGCGATGACAAAGTTCTAGCCCTTCCATTCGCCGTTGGCAACAAAATAGACCATCCCGATTGTAGAGCGGCCTGGGCAGCAGATTGAACGGAAGGCAGGATTTTGGCAGCACTTGCCAAATAAACCACCTGAGACTTCAAACTCGCCAACAATTTACTATTGGCACCCAGACCGAGAGGTTTTGTATCCAGATTATTACTGATTATACAATGCAGCTGAAAAATTGCCGTTATAAACGAATTGTACGGTGTGGATTGTAGCTTATTTGCTTACTTGTAGTTGCAATATTTTCAAAGCTGATATAGCCAAACATTCTCTGTCTTGAGTGAAAGAGGTTTTCTTAGAAATGTCCAGCTCCAGCAACTGGTCGATCAATCTGAAATATTTCAATCATCATCATCGTGTCCCACTTAATATAGCAAAGTGAAAAGTAATAAGCTTTTCTCGATTATTTTTATCTGATACAATTCAAATAGAAAAAAAAACCTAAAGCCACTTGAAACTAGTGAATGTTGGCTAAATGAGAAGAAAAATATATATATTGTCTGCTCTGGTCTTCTGGTCAATGGGCGTATATCCGTTATGGTTTCTTATCAATGACACATTGAGCAAACTAGCCACTTCAAATTTACATGAATATATTTTCTGTCCCACTCAAATAACCTAGACATCTCAGCAGTTGTCAATTACCTGATACCTAGGATTGAGGAATGACAATACATCAATATAATCTACACTAGAAGAATAGTATAAAAATTATCTTTATTATTATTCCCAAGAAACATACATGTTTATAGCATAGGAAATTTCTTTTCATTTATAGACCGAATCAGACTATCATAAAAAGGATGAGAAATGAAAAATGCCAAACAGAAGCACACCTACAGAGAATTGATATGAAACAAATACATACTTAGAGTGTGGACCAAAAATATAATAATACAGGATCTGGCCATATACGTATTAATAAACAATACGGATCATAACGGGTGCCAGGATGAAGCCAATAATATGAAACAAATGAATATCCATAAGGATTTGGTGGCATGATACGCATGCGCCATGCGCTATTATAGTAGTCATCAAAGACATGCGTTTCGGTGGACAATGACGTTTACTAGCCTTTCAATCAAAGCAGTATGTGTCTGATCGTATCTCACTTTTCCTTATGGATAGTCAGTTGTCTTCAAAAATCGGCTTCATGTTTCGCTATGGAAACAGATAGAGATCATCCGTATTGATTAATAATACGTATATGGATCTGGCAGGAAGAGAATGAATTTCATTTAGTTAATTCGCCAAAAAAAATATAAACCCCATTCTCTTATGGAAGGAATGTATGAAATGGCCTGGATGGGAAATTAATTTGAAAACAAGCACAATTTGTGAGGTACATACATTAGAATTCACTTTTTATAACAGCAGCTTAGAATTGAACTACACTTTACGCCAATTTTCAAACAGAAGATCCGTTTGAGAGAATCTGCTATTTAAAAACAGAATCCATTTTCATCATCACACGAAATGCAAAACAAAACTCTCATGGAGAAAGAGAGATTTATTGCAAAACTACATAATGAAAATTTCAGAAGGAATCTGAGGGAATCAAGTAAATTGCGACGTGATATATCATTGAATGGCCTTTTCAATAGCGACCGAACTAGCTATAAGTATATCCAAATGTGTCTATTTTGTCATTAAAATGTTGTTACATGCATTCTTCTCAGTTTTACAACTTTTGTTCTGCGAAAATTGCATTTGTGTCCGAGCTCTCATCTACTACTACCATCCAGTGACTCTATGTTAAAAGAGGCAAAGAAGATGATTAAACTATTATCCGTCTTTCACATCCACTGTCATGAACAAAGTGTCAGTTTTGATCCTAATAAAACAATCTAACGTCCACTTACTTGAAAGTATATTCGCTGAGATCGACGACGAACGGCAGCGACGTCCTCGGCGTGTACACGTTCACGTCGGTCCAAGCGAAGCTCTGCGCTGGCCCGCAAGCCACGCCTACTATCCGTCGCCCTTCCAGCGCTTCGATCCGGGCGGGCTGCTGCGCATACAAGTCAGGAGAGTCGCGCACCTGCCTCATAAATGCCGTTGTTTTTTTTTTCAAGTTTCAATTTCATATTTTAGATTTTTCGGTCGATTTTACGGTCCTAAATTCATCAATAATAATAATAGTTTTATGTAGTTCAATAACATAATACATTAGGTTTTATAGAGAAACAAGAGCAGTGAAAAAAATCAAATAAAAAAAAAAACGCATAATCTATCATGAAACTACAAAAAAGACAAACTAACAATATAGCTCTAAAGCCTGCTGATCTAAGTACAGGGTGGCCAACTAAGACTCCAGAGTTCTATTTCTCTGTTGTCTTGAGAGATACAAAAAAAAGTCATGTATCAAAATTGAAGTAATAACCGAGCTTCACATTTCAAAATTTCTTTGAAACACACAGGGTGTTCCGTAAGGTCACAGCACATCAAAGCTATGTTTTTTTCATCGGAACACCCTATATTTTATTTCATTTTTGAATTCTCCCTGAAGATCTGATTTCAACGACCCATCATACTTAGGGTCTAGCAGTGAAAGTTACTGACATATAGGGTGTGCAAAATCGAGATTTTCCAAGTTCAGGATTTTTTTCTGTCGAAACTGTTCATTATTCGTCAAAACGGTTTACATGTCCCTATCTCAACTTTTCACTCACTATCAATTGGTGTTCAATTGAAATTGATACAAGGTGGTCAAAAAATCTAAATTTATAATTTGTTCCAATTAAATGTCAATTGAACACCAATTGATAGTGAGTGAAAAGTTGAGATAGGGACATGTAAACCGTTTTGACAAATAATGAACAGTTTCGACAGAAAAAAATCCTGAACTTGGAGAATCTCGATTTTGCACACCCTATATGTCAGTAACTTTCACTGCTAGACCCTAAGTATGATGGGTCGTTGAAATCAGATCTTCAGGGAGAATTCAAAAATGAAATAAAATATAGGGTGTTCCAATGAAAAAAACATAGCTCTGATGTGCTGTGACCTTACGGAACACCCTGTGTATTTCAAAGAAATTTTGAAATGTGAAGTTCGGTTATCACTTTAATTTGAATGCAAAACTTTTTTTGTATCTCTCAAGACAACAGAGGTATCAAACTCTGGATTCTTAGTTGGCCACCCTGTACAGTTCTCAACACACTAAATGAACGACTCATAATTTGACTCTATTTCGAAGACCTGTATTTTTTGAAAAAACTGTCCGATGTGATATTTCATCGGCTTCAAAGAGAGCTAGAACACTGAAAAGGTCCGCAGAACAAAACTAACACAGGGTGTAAATTGGAACCATTACACTATAGTCTACAATTCCAATGCTGCCAGAACTCGAGAATTTTTTTTCTGATCAAAAGTCAGTCATAATATGATACACTAGGACCTCATCTCGGAACGTTATCGTGATTTCTCCTTTATTGGCCATGACTTTCGAAAAAAAATCGAATTTTCTACGTGTAGAATTTCGAAATTATCATCAAAACTATGGTTTTCTTCTAATATATGGTTGGCATAATATATGTTGAATTCGTTTTCTTTTTCAAAAAATTCATCTTATGTTCATGAACGCGCTGATTAAACGTACGACCTGTCTGACCGATATATACCTTAGGACAAGATCCACAGTTGAGTTTGTATACCCCTGATTTTTAGAATTTAAAAGTTCTGTCCTTATTATTCTTGATAAACCTTCCCAACGTCTGTCCTCTATTCATTGCAGATATCGTAATAACGGTTATCAGATTTCCAATGGGTTGCGTGCAAGAACTGTCAGATGACCGACCCTGGAGGCACAACATTGAAACACAACCTCACTTTTCTTATTTATTTACAAGTGATTGAAATAGTTTTTCACAATTATTTTGGCATACGAATTGTATTTTTCGGCTTTTCATTAATTCGCTCATGCCATCACATTGTGCTGTTTGTTGTACAATGCACAAAAACTGCAGCGGAAGACGAAGGAATCCGGTTGGTACATTATGATTTGAAAGTATGTACCTACTATAGTCACTCACATAGTTTTCATTTTTGAAATTTGGTAATTTCTCTGATTTCTCATCGGAATTCCTTCTGCAATAGGAGCCAATAGAAATACTCGTGAAATTTCTAAAATAATGCAAGAAGATTGGATTCATGCAATCAAACGGGAGGACATTTTCAATCTATTAGCAGTATTAGCTCGTATTGCAGAAGTGGCAGAAGGAATTTTAATAAGGAATGATAACTATTTACCTGAAAAATCATATTCCTTCGTCTCTCGCTGCATTTTTTGTGCATTGTACAACCGCACAATGCAAAGGCATCCTTGAATTAATGAATAGCGCAAAAAACACGATTCGTATGCCAAAATATTGTGAAAAACTATTTCAATCCTTTGATTCCTCTGTAAACAAATATATCAAACTTTATTAGCACAGTGCTCTTCATAACAGTTGAATCTACAATAAAATACAATAAGTCAATAAATAAAAACATAGAGTAGAGTAGAGTAGAGTATATTTATTTGACTACATTACAATGCCTGTTTGTAGCACGTCATAAAAACGACAATACTATAGAAATACATCACATATAGTATAAAAATATTGTAGATTACTGTAAAATAGCATTAAAACATAGAAAATAGATTGAAGAATAAAAAAAACATAGAAGTAGCATAAAATTGGAAATTTGGCGAGACGAGTTTTATTCTCTACAAGGTCTGAAATGTCCAATGTATTCCTCTGTGGAATAAAAGCAATGCATCAAAAGTAAGTTTTTTATCCTTATTTTGAATAAGTTTATACTTAAAGATTTCAATTCTGGTGGAAGTATATTGTAGAGATAATAATTCAGTGAATTTTTCTTAGATTTAGTTAGGCGGAACTTTTTTGATCTCAGGTTATCTGCTTGTCTAGTACCATGGCTGTGTATATCAGATTGCTTAGTGAGCATCGAGGAGTTTTTGTGAATCTCTATCAGAACTTGAAAAATAAACAAACACGGCAAGGGCATTATTCTGTGTTTAATAAACAAAGGTTGGCAGTGTTCCAGATAGTTTACACTGGATAAGATCCTGACAGCTTTTTTCTGTAAACGAAAAATTAAGAGAGAGTCAGACGAACCACCCCAAAGAATAGTAGCGTAACTGATGTGCGAGTGAAATAACGAAAAATATGTTGTTCTGAGTGCATTAAAATTGGTTACAGTTTGAAGTTGACGTAGGACAAACAGAGCACTACTGAGTTTACTTTTTAATTTAGTAAAGTGAGGTTTCCAAGATAGATCACTATCCAGAGTTACTCCTAGTAAATTTGCAGAATGAGTTTCTATGGCATACGTAGACGAAAGATACAGAGTTTGCGATTTATCGTTGTTCAGTTTGAGTTTGTTGGCTGCAAACCAATTTTCGGATTTATTAGTTAATTCTTCGTGAGTACTGTACAGCTCTGATCTCAGTTTTCCAGAATAAATGAATGTCGTATCATCCGCGAATGAAACAGTTTTCACCGGAACCATATAGTTGCTTAAGTCGTTTGTGTATATTATGAACAACAACGGTCCTAATATTGACCCTTGAGGGACACCATGCTCATTATGTTTGAAATCAGATAAGGAATTTCCAATACTTACCGCTTGAAAGCGGTTTTTCAAATAGGATTGTATCAGATTGAGTGGTACTCCCCTAACCCCGTAATAATTTAATTTTTCAAGTAATATATCATGTGATACACAATCAAATGCCTTGGAAAGATCACACAAGGTGATAGCAGCTTGCATCCCATCCTCCAAGGTAGATACTATATCATTCACGACATTCAAGACAGCGAGAGCAGTAGAGCGATTTGGTCGAAAACCATATTGTGTGTTGCTAAAAAAATTATTTGACTCAAAATAACACCTCAATCGTTTATTCAGAATTTTTTCTATTATTTTCGCAAAAACTGAGATAATGGAAATAGGACGATAGTTGTTGATATTATTTCTATCACCTTTTTTAAACAACGGTGTTACTTTGGAAAATTTAAAACAATCTGGAAATGTTCCTGAAATGAAGATGGAGTTTATTAGATTAGTAAGTGGAACTAGGATAATGTCGCTAGTATCTGTTATAATTTGAGAGTTTAGTTCATGTATATCAAGACTTTTAGATTTCTTCAAAGATTTGATGGCATCCGATACTTCTTGGGGTGTTACCGGTGACAAATAGAATGACTCGCTAGGGGCTGGAAAATTTTTGAAATTCAGAAGTTCGCTGGACGATACAACTGGCAAGGAATTTATTATGTCAATAGCAATATTGACAAAAAAATCATTGAAATCGTCAGAAGTAAGATCGGGAACCGATTCGTCACGGTGAAATTTATTTCTTTCAAAGTTTATTATCTGCCAGCATGCTTTCGATTTGTTTTCAGCTGAAATAATATATCGATCATAAGCTGCCTTTTTTGCTTCCTTCAGTGAACAGTTGTATATCGTTTTGAATTGAGTGTAAATGTTAACGTCAGTTGTTTTTTTAGTTACATCAGCTTTAAGTTTCAGAGCTGATAACGAATCTCTCATAGATTTAAGACTTTCATCAAACCACTTAACTGGAATGATTTTTTTATTTGTAGAATATTTCCTCAATGGGCAGTATTTCATCACCGCATCATTGTAAGATTTTACCAAAAAATTAGCCAAGTACTGAACATTTTCACTGGATTCAAAAATTGTCCAATCAACAGAAGCTAGAGCATTTTTTATATTCAAAATGGATTTTTTACTGAAAGATCTCTTGTAGAAAAAATTTGAATTTGCAACTTCTTTTACCTGAATATTTATAAACTGACCACGGTGGTCGGAAAGGCAAGGTTCTATAACGCCACTTTCAAACAAGGATTCATTGATGTTTGTTATTATATTGTCCAGACATGTAGATGATGTAGCTGTGATTCTTGTATAATCACTTATAGTAGCTGACAAACCAAATGACGTTAGAATGCAATTCAGATCATTCAACTCCTTTGAGTTAACCTTGAAATTTATATTAAAATCGCCTGCTATTATTATTCTTGTTTCAGGTGAAACAATTTCACTTAGAACACTCTCTAAGTTTTCGAAAAATGCACCAATATTGCCCTTGCCGGATCTATACAAAGTTAAAACAGTAAGTTTCATCTTAGGTAACTCGATTGCACAAAACTCACATGTCTGTTCTATATTGAATTGATTGACATTTAGTACTTTAAAAGTAATACCAATTTTCGAAAATATTGCAGTTCCTCCGTGGATCATATTGCTTCTCGAAAAAGAAGCAGCACAAATATAACCATTTAAATTTATACTGCGAAGATTAGTTTCATTCAGCCAGTGTTCACTTATGCAACAAATATCAAAGTTGTGCCCCTGTAGAAATACATCAAACATTTCAATCTTATTTGCTAAACATTGAGCATTAATATGAAATATACTCGCCCCACCTTTACATTGAGAATGTGAACTCTTTTGATTTTTGACAAATGGTGTATCGTTATCATTCAATTTGAAAACTACGTTGTTTGGCTCGTCCTGGGGTCGTGGTATTGATCCTGGATGGCTTTGGTTACAGAGCTCGTTGAGGTAGTTTCTGTCTGAGGACCCGTCTCCTTCGAAGGTGTCCCCTTCCTGGCAAAAAACGAGATTATAGCTCCAGTTGGCCACACTTCTCTTTTCCATGCAGTTCTCAAGTGTTCTCGTTTCAAAGTAACTTTCATCGATGAGTATAGTTCAGGTCTGAGAGAGGGGTGGGTTTCGCAGGCTACCTCTGGGATATGTGGCTCAAGGATTTTTTTCAAGTCCTGCGGCTTGGTGTTTGGTGTCAGTCTAGTGACGTGAAGAGATACTAGCCTTGGGACAGTTTCTATACCTGTTGCTTCTGAGCTTTGACCAACCAGAAATTTTCTTCTTTTCTTGTGGTGGACAGTGGTCCACTTTCCAGTATCGTTTTCCTGATTTGTCGTGCCTAATTGTTGTATATTGTGCATAGTATTCATTGTTTTGGCCTGAATAACTGCAGCACTGACCTGCTGAGGTGTAATACTGTTTGGCAAGGCAATGTTACTAATATCTCCTTTAGACTTTGTTTCAATCGGTTCCGGCGGTCGATTAGCCACTACCACTTTTGCAAAGTTTCTGTTACTAATGTCGTTTTTAACACTTGAACTCCTCCTGTTCTTGGAATTAGGTGTATCTGTACTTATAGGAATTTGTGGAGGGTCCTGGTTTGAATAACGTAGAGCAGATATACTTGCGTTTTGTTCATGTAATCGCTGTACCTTTTCCGTTAATTCCCTGATAATGTAGTTTTTGTGGGCAATAATTGATTTCAGATATTCTATTTCTCTCATAGAAATATAGAACTAAGACACAGACACCTGAATTACGTCACATATTTTAATATAAGGGTAATTAACAGATTTCTCTCTTCTCAATTGATCAATCAATAATTTTCTCTCACAAATAACACACACAATTCTTTGAAACTATCTAGTGACATACATCTTTTCATTTCACAGGGCAAATTATTGAACAATACCAGACCTTTTGTATATAAAGTATCACAGACAATATTTACTGAATTTATATAGAAATCGTTCGCTGCTTGTCTTCTGGTATTGTGACAATGTACATCTTGAACATAATATAGCTCACTTGATAAATACAAAGGCAACATGTTATTTTTCAATTTATAAACAAAAATCAGTGTATTATATGAAACTCTTTGCTTGATATTCATTAATTGCAATGTGTTCAGCATTGTTGTGACTGGTGTGCGTCTTTTACAACCCAAGATAGCTCTCATTGCACGATTTTGGACTTTTTGCAGTGTATTAATCTGTTCGTTGCTCAAGAAACTCAGTAAACTACCACAATAATCAATATGAGGTGAAATTATTGACTTGTAAATTGTTAATTTCGTGAAATGAGATACTTTATCACCAAGCCTGTACATGAAACCTTCACAGAAGAGTGAGGTTGTGTTTCAATATTTTACCTCCAGGGTCGGTCATCGTGCGACAAGTTTTCTCTCAGTGTGTGTCAAAAAAAACTGACCTGTTTGTTGTCGTTCTTGCCCCAACCGTAAACCTCGCCGTGGTCGGTGACGGCCAGTGTGTGGGCGGGGCCTAGACTGACCAATACGATGCGCTTGCCCCGGAGGATCTCGACCGGTTCCGGCACGCGGACGTGGTCTTCGTTGGGGTGGCCGAGCCTCCATCCTTCGCCCTTAAAATGCGTTACGATCAGTAGGCGAGTGAACTAATTTTCTTTCAAAAGAAAAACACCAAATGTCTCAAAGTCGGTCGACCACACTTTATAAAAAAATATTAAAAAATCACTTGTAACCGGTTTCGGCGCAACGGCCATCATCAGACAAAAAAATACCTGTTAAAAGATGAAATATGACAATACAAATAGAGGAAAGTGACAAACTTTTTAAAAACATACCAAAGCATGAAGCTATTAAGTAGTATTATGGAAAAATAAACATGAGAGCAACTCAAGTCGTCAACGGGCTATCAGAGTCAGGCACATGTAGTTCTTTTTAAATTTAGTAAAGAGCCAGAAGAAACTGGCTCTGATAAGATTAAATAAACATCTTATCTTGCAAGGTTTTTTATTATGAACTACATAATATAACTAAGGGAGCCATATCAGAGATCAGTGAGCGATGGAACAAGGAAATGAAAAAATTGTAGACAAATTGAAAGATGAACAAGACTTTAACACTTGAACACAAAACAATGAGAATTGGATGACAGAACCGAAATGACACAATAGAACAGTGGTAAGTAAAACCAGGAAATACTTTGGACCACTTTGAGATATGGATAATTTTCATGATTTAATTTTCTTTCATTTTTAACATTTATACAGATATGAAAAAACTTCACTCTGAACCACAGTGGAAGCAGAAGATGGTGTGCTCGACATTTATTTATTTCAGTTATTGCATTACATTCTCTTCTTCATTGATACATTTCATACAAATAATATATAAAGTATAATCAATTTTCTAGTAGGAATGACATGAATGATCAGACAGTAATTCCTGGTATAAGATCATTCATGAAGTATTATCGACTGTTGTATAATTGAAATTACAAATAGTGTACAAAACTTACATATCATTAAGATACAGTCATATTATAGTGAACAAGAAGGGGAAAAATAAAAACAGTGAAAAAAAAAGAAAAAAGGAAATTCATAGTCTTTCAGCTTTGATCATTCCTTTGCATATAAATATATTTCTTAACTTTATTTTTGAATTGCATAATATTTGGGCTGTTTTTGATATCATCTGGTAAATTATTGAATTTCGAAATCGCCTCATGTGTAAACTTTTTTTGTCCAAGTTTAGAATTTGCAGCTTCAAGATGAAACAAGTTATATTGTCTAGTCTAGTCTAGATGATCATGAATTTCGGAATTCCTGATTAATATAAAATTTGATTTAAGCTTTTTGTTGATGATATAATAGGAAATTTTGAGAGTATTGATTAAAAAGTGCTCTTCCAAAGAAAATGTGTTTGTTTTCTTATACAGTTGATTCGTTGGAGTATCATATGGAAGACGATACAATACTTTCAATGCCTTTTTATATAGAACAGAAATTTTGTTGAAACTATTTTTGGAACAAGATCCCCAAATATTTATGAGATAGTTAATTCGACTGAGTATATGTGAATAGAGAATAATATTTGATGTATATGTACTAAGTTTAGGACATCTTCTCAAAGCACCAATAATGGGAGATACTTTTCCTATGAGGATGTCTATATGCTTTCCCCATGTTAATTTCTCATCAATCCAAATACCAAGGTATTTGGTATGGGCAGTTTGTTTCAAACGTTCATTTTTTATTCTAATATTCAGATCAATATTTTGTTTATTTCTTTGACGAAAAATCATATATTGAGTCTTATTAGAATTGAGAGAAAGGAGATTGGAATAAAGCCATTTCTCAACTTTTTTCAAGTCCTCATTTATGATATGTTCTAGAACTACTGGGTTTTTATTCTCATATAGAAGCACTGTATCGTCTGCATATATGGTATAGTTTCCTATCAAATTCATTCTTTCAATATTTTGAATGTATAATAGATAAAGAATTGGACCTAACATAAAGCTCAAACTCGTCTTGTTCTGCGCATGACGTCAACTAGGATATAACTGTGAATTATTTATTTTCGTGATGGATTTCCCAAACTATAATGTATAAAAAATAGGAATATTGTCAGATATATGCCAATAAACTTGTTGTATATGCCTATGGCAACGGTATCTGTCTTTGACTAGCAGCTGGTATTGGTATCCCAGAAGACGTCACATACCAAAAAATTAAGAACAATCAAATTGTATTCTCTACGGTTAATATTCAATCATCACTATTTCTCAACTAGTCTTTGGATGCAGTAAATATCAAGTCAGTTTTATGTCATTTAGTTAGGTCCAGTTCCTATCTCCATTCACTATCATTAATTTATTATCTATCTGATAATATACATAGTTAATTCAGTTAGGTAACCGAATAGTTTGATTTATGGACCTCATTCCTATCCGTTTTGCAGGTTCATTTGAGATTAAGAGTAAAGTTAACGTAATTCATTGTTTCAAATAATAACTAAATAAAAGTGTCTCAAAGTAGATCAATAGAATTTGATTAAAGAGTATGCAAGCTCAGATATTTTACTAGTGCGATGCATATACACGTAGATGTGTCACAAGCTGCTAAGTGGGACTTCAGATATAAAAAGTTAAGTTGATTATGATATATTGTGAATGATTATGTGGCATTTCAATACGACTTATTCGAGAACATACTTGCCGACCGATCTCGCTTGGCAAGAAATAATTTTTGTTGGAAATTAGAATTATATTAAATGAGGTGGTTTTAAGACAGTGATCAATATAGGTTACTTGCTTATTAGAGACCACCTCGTTTACAACAACGGCAATTCACAATGTTAAGAATTTTTGAAAGACTTTTTTTTATGTTCTGGTTCCCACGAAAAGGGATATCCTGTCATGTCCAGAGAACGTCGTGAGAACCAAGGGAAATACGGTAGGAATTGGTGTTCTTAAATTTCTGGAGGTTATATGCCTCGGAAAACGCCTCCCTTGGCAGTGTGTTCCATAGCTTCGCTGTTTGTTGGATGAACGAGTCTTTGGAAAGAGATGTTCTGCAGGTCTCCAAAGTGACCACGAAGGGGTGCGAAGCCTCAACTCGACGGGTTAATCTCGCGGAGACTGCAAAGGGAGGAACAATTGTTGATATTTCAGAAGAGCATCGTCCATGAAAATATCTATAAAATAGAGCCAGATCGCCAACTTTTCTACGGTGTTCCAGAGAAGTGAGTGAGTTTGTGAGCAAGGCATCATCCACGAGACGAATTGCCCTTTTTTGGACAGAATCCAACAGTTTCAGGGTATGTTTGGGTGCTGCACTCCAAATATGGGAACAGTATTCCAGGACAGGTCGGATATGTGCCTTATAGATCATATGCAGCTGACTGGAAGTGAAATAGCTCCTGGTCCGAAACAGAAAACCAAGTTTTTGGGATGCACTGTTAGCAATTGATCTCACGTGATTTTACCAAGAAAGGTTATTGCTGATAGTAATACGTAGCATCGAAATTGATAACTTCAAAGGTATGGTTACTCCTGGCAAGCTTATGTTGGGCACAGTGAGATCGGCTTTTCTAGAGAAAAGGCATGCTTGTATTTTGTTTGCATTGAAATCTACCAAGTTATTGGATCCCCAATCGAGAATGGGCGTGTACACCTTAGTAGAACTTTTAACTCAAACCATGTTTATAATGATCTTTTTATACATAAATAATGATTGACGACATAATTCGATCGAAAAATCAACTGGAATGTTTCATTTTTTGGACATAAATGATAGTACCTTCTGAAAACGGACCCTCTTATGACGTAGAAACCTCATCTCGCCATAGTTGAAAGAAAATACCAAACGCTCGACGGAGACTGAGGCAACTGATATTTTAATTCTTTCAACTGTGATCTTGAGCTAATTCACTCTGTCAGAAATCATGTATCATTTTTCTCTGTCTGGAATAGTCTTGTTTCAGTATAAGGGTTTCGACGTCACATCATCGCCTCGTTTTCAGAGGTCCGAGAAATCGGGGATTTCAATAATTTTTTATAAAACGTAGGGAGCTCACAGCAAGAAACGGTTTGCGGTGGTGAGCTAGTTTGGGTGAGTTCTATCGAATTATGGAATAAAATTTTTTCGTGATATAAGCCCATTGTTGCCAAGTTCATATTCATGTTGTCAGAATTTCTCCATCGTTCGTTTCTGATTTGCCTGGCTGGTATTGGAGCCCTAGAAGAGAAGGCGGTATGGAGGGTACAATCATCCGCGAAGCTGTGTACTGGACATGAAGTTGCTTCCAACAAATCGTTGATATGGAGTAGAAATAGTGTTGGTGCTAGAATTGAATATATTTGAGATACCAACCTTTCCCCAAGTGAACAGCTTTCCTTCCTTTGACAGGGCTACGCTAGAAAGTGTGCCACAATAGACTTCGGAGATGTCCACGTTTTGTAACTTTTCAACCAAACGTGGAAATTTGGAGCCTTCTGAGCCGCCTCTTCCAAGTTTTCCATAATCGCCGTCTCCCCAACTGTACACCCTCCCTGCCAAGAAATGTAAAGTATATACCGGGTGGTAAATTCATACTATCCACACTTGAAAACTCTCAGACAAATTATTTTACAGAAACACAACGAAACACGTCAGTTTTTAATTGGAGGGGAGAACCGTTTGACGCAAGAAAGCTGATACATTCTTCAACCCTCTACTCACCAAGACAACCAACCCCCTTCATAATTTTAATAGGGAATAAGGGTCATGTTATACAGGGTTTCCCATAAGTCATGGATCAAGAGAAGTGGGGTGGTAGGGGGGTCATTTGAAATCAAACTAACGGTAAAAGGCTGTTAGGAATAACCGCCTATGTTGTAACATTTCGGAATCTGTATTAAATGGACAACTTTTTTATAATTGCTTATCTTTGTGGGGTAGGTTTTAAATCTGCCAGCGACATTCAAAAATCAACTTGAATATTTCATTCAATGACAAAACAACAGAAAAGCAACATTTTTCCCAGGTAATTGGTAAGAAGTAACACTTGTGAATGAAATTTGTAAAAGAAAAAATCACAAATGTGACAGTTTCACTGTAATAATTTTTATTTATGAAAATGAGCCATCAACAATTCGATAACCACATATAGGGTTAGTTTGATTAGAAATGACCCCCCCCCCCTACCACCCCATTTCTTTTGATTCATGACTTGAATTATCTCGGATTGAATTCATCATCGTGGAAGAATTCCATGGTTGCTTGTAGAGCACTCAACTTTGAAAATTCTTCATCAGTGAATGCCTTCCCACATGAATAAAGGAAATGATACATGGAGCCGTCACAAAGCATAATACTAATTCAAGTTTTTTTAGGGTACTTCAGGAACAATGCAAACTATCTCAGATGTCTCGAAATCTCAGACACTTCACTTCAGATCTCTCTTCCAGATAGACTAGTGGAATATGGAGAATTTAAAGATAAGTTCTTGTGAACATTTTTGTCACTCCTCAAATACAGATCATAGTTCTACTTTTCTTCGAACATTTCTCCATGAAAAAACGACTTTCATCGATTTATTAATTTTTCATTTTAATCATGAAGTCGAAAACTACTCGACATTCATGTGAGTGTATGGAATCACGTCAGGTACCCTTACGAGGGGAGAGTATCAACTTTGGCGTTCGTAATGCCTCTCTACAAAGGAGGGTGTCGCCTTCAAGAGTTAGGTATGAACAGTGGTTTTATACCAGTTCTCTTCCAAATTATTCATGCACTAAAGAAAAGCTAGTCGTTGTTTCATTTGAGCAGTACTCTCAGCAGAGTAGACCCATGTTTTCTTCCATATTATACTGAATGATATATGACGCCATCAGAGGAACTTGATCATAATCCAAGGTTTTTTTCAGGATATTCCAGGAACAATGTAAATTATTCCAGATTGCACTCAGCATCTTGGGAAAATCCCATTTTTGCTTGTAGAGCACTCAACTTTGGAAATTCTTCATCAGTGAATGCCTTCCCACATGAATAAAGGAAATATCATATGGAGCCGTCAACAAAGCATAATACTAATTCAAGTTTTTTTAGGGTACTTCAGGAACAATGCAAACTATCCCAGATGTCTCGAAATCTCAGACACTTCACTTCAGAACTCTACCTGAATGATATTCCAGATAGACGAGTGAAATATGGAGAATTTTAAGATAAGTTCTTTTGAACATTTTTGTCATTCCTCAAATACAGATCATAGTTCTACTTTTCTCCGAACATTTCTCCATGAAAAAACGACTCTCATCGATTTATTAATTTTTCATTTCAATCATGAAGTCGAAAACTACTCGACATTCATGTGAGTGTATGGAATCACGTCAGGTACCCTTACGAGGGGAGAGTATCAACTTTGGCGTTCGTAATGCCTCTCTACAAAGGAGGGTGTCGCCTTCAAGAGTTAGGTATGAACAGTGGTTTTATACCAGTTCTCTTCCAAATTATTCATGCACTAAAGAAAAGCTAGTCGTTGTTTCATTTGAGCAGTACTCTCAGCAGAGTAGACCCATGTTTTCTTCCATATTATACTGAATGATATATGACGCCATCAGAGGAACTTGATCATAATCCAAGTTTTTTTCAGGATATTCCAGGAACAATGTAAATTATTCCAGATTGCACTCAGCATCTTGGGAAAATCCCATTTTTTGCTTGTAGAGCTCTCAACTTTGGAAATTCTTCATCAGTGAATGCCTTCCCACATGAATAAAGGATATATTATATGGAGCCGTCAACACAGCATTATACTAATTCAAGTTTTTTTAGGGTACTTCAGGAACAATGCAAACTATCTCAGATGTCTCGAAATCTCAGACACTTCACTTCAGATCTCTCTTCCAGATAGACTAGTGGAATATGGAGAATTTAAAGATAAGTTCTTGTGAACATTTTTGTCACTCCTCAAATACAGATCATAGTTCTACTTTTCTCCGAATATTTCTCCATGAAAAAACGACTTTCATCGATTTATTAATTTTTCGTTTTAATCATGAAGTCGAAAACTACTCGACATTCATGTGAGTGTATGGAATCACGTCAGGTACCCTTACGAGGGGAGAGTATCAACTTTGGCGTTCGTAATGCCTCTCTACAAAGGAGGGTGTCGCCTTCAAGAGTTAGGTATGAACAGTGGTTTTATACCAGTTCTCTTCCAAATTATTCATGCACTAAAGAAAAGTTAGTCGTTGTTTCATTTGAGCAGTACTCTCAGCAGAGTAGACCCATGTTTTCTTCCATATTATACTGAATGATATATGACGCCATCAGAGGAACTTGATCATAATCCAAGGTTTTTTTCAGGATATTCCAGGAACAATGCAAATTATTCCAGATTGCACTCAGCATCTTGGGAAAATTCCATTTTTGCTTGTATAGCAGTCAACTTTGAAAATTCTTAATCAGTGAATGCCTTCCCACATGAATAAAGGAAATATTATATGGAGCCGTAAACAAAGCATAATACTAATTCAAGTTTTTTTAGGGTACTTCAGGAACAATGCAAACTATCCCAGATGTCTCGAAATCTCAGACACTTCACTTCAGAACTCTACCTGAATGATATTCCAGATAGACTAGTAAAATATGGAGAATTTTAAGATAAGTTCTTGTGAACATTTTTGTCATTCCTCAAATACAGATCATAGTTCTACTTTTCTCCGAACATTTCTCCATGAAAAAACGACTTTCATCGATTTATTAATTTTTCATTTCAATCATGAAGTCGAGAACTACTCGACATTCATGTGAGTGTATGGAATCACGTCAGGTACCCTTACGAGGGGAGAGTATCAACTTTGGCGTTCGTAATGCCTCTCTACAAAGGAGGGTGTCGCCTTCAAGAGTTAGGTATGAACAGTGGTTTTATACCAGTTCTCTTCCAAATTATTCATGCACCAAAGAAAAGCTATTCGTTGTTTCATTTGAGCAGTACTCTCAGCAGAGTAGACCCATGTTTTCTTCCATATTATACTGAATGATATATGACGCCATCAGAGGAACTTGATCATAATCCAAGGTTTTTTTCAGGATATTCCAGGAACAATGTAAATTATTCCAGATTGCACTCAGCATCTTGGGAAGCTTCCATTTTTGCTTGTAGAGCACTCAACTTTGGAAATTCTTCATCAGTGAATCCCTTCCCACATGAATAAAGGAAATATTATATGGAGCCGTCAACAAAGCATAATACTAATTCAAGTTTTGTTAGGGTACTTCAGGAACAATGCCAACTATCCCAGATGTCTCGAAATCTCAGACACGTCACTTCAGAACTCTACCTGAATGATATTCCAGATAGACGAGTGAAATATGGAGAATTTTAAGATGTTCTTTTGAACATTTTTGTCATTCCTCAAATACAGATAATAGTTCTACTTTTCTCCGAACATTTCTCCATGAAAAAGCGACTTTCATCGATTTATCAATTTTTCATTTCAATCATGAAGTCGAAAACTACTCGACATTCATGTGAGTGTATAAAATCACGTCAGGTACCCTTACGAGGGGACAGTATCAACTTTGGCGTTCGTAATGCCTCTCCACAAAGGAGGGTGTCGCCTTCAAGAGTTAGGTATGAACAGTGGTTTTATACCAGTTCTCTTCCAAATTATTCATGCACTAAAGAAAAGCTAGTCGTTGTTTCATTTGAGCAGTACTATCAGCAGAGTAGACCCATGTTTTCTTCCATATTATACTGAATGATATATGACGCCATCAGAGGAACTTGATCATAATCCAAGGTTTTTTTCAGGATATTCCAGGAACAATGTGAATTATTCCAGATTGCACTCAGCATCTTGGGAAAATTCCATTTTTGCTTGTAGAGCACTCAACTTTGGAAATTCTTCATCAGTGAATGCCTTCCCACATGAATAAAGGAAATATTATATGGAGCCGTCAACAAAGCATAATACTAATTCAAGTTTTTTTAGGGTACTTCAGGAACAATGCAAAGTATCCCAGATGTCTTGAAATCTCAGACACTTCGGTTCAGAAATCTACCTGAATGATATTCCAGATAGACTAGTAAAATATGGAGAATTTTAAGATAAGTTTTTTTGAATATTTTTGTCATTCCTCAAATACAGATCATAGTTCTACTTTTCTCCGAACATTTCTCCATGAAAAAACGACTCTCATCGATTTATTAATTTTTCATTTCAATCATGAAGTCGAAAACTACTCGACATTCATGTGAGTGTATGGAATCACGTCAGGTACCCTTACGAGGGGAGAGTATCAACTTTGGCGTTCGTAATGCCTCTCTACAAAGGAGGGTGTCGCCTTCAAGAGTTAGGTATGAACAGTGGTTTTATACCAGTTCTCTTCCAAATTATTCATGCACTAAAGAAAAGCTAGTCGTTGTTTCATTTGAGCAGTACTCTCAGCAGAGTAGACCCATGTTTTCTTCCATATTATACTGAATGATATATGACGCCATCAGAGGAACTTGATCATAATCCAAGGTTTTTTTCAGGATACTCCAGGAACAATGTAAATTATTCCAGATTGCACTCAGCATCTTGGGAAAATTCCATTTTTGCTTGTAGAGCACTCAACTTTGGAAATTCTTCATCAGTGAATGCCTTCCCACATGAATAAAGGAAATATTATATGGAGCCGTCAACAAAGCATAATACTAATTCAAGTTTTTTTAGGGTACTTCAGGAACAATGCAAACTATCCCAGATGTCTCAAAATCTCAGACACTTCACTTCAGAACTCTACCTGAATGATATTCCAGATAGACGAGTGAAATATGGAGAATTTTAAGATAAGTTCTTTTGAACATTTTTGTCATTCCTCAAATACAGATCATAGTTCTACTTTTCTCCGAACATTTCTCCATGAAAAAACGACTCTCATCGATTTATTAATTTTTCATTTCAATCATGAAGTCGAAAACTACTCGGCATTCATGTGAGTGTATGGAATCACGTCAGGTACCCTTACGAGGGGAGAGTATCAACTTTGGCGTTCGTAATGCCTCTCTACAAAGGAGGGTGTCGCCTTCAAGAGTTAGGTATGAACAGTGGTTTTATACCAGTTCTCTTCCAAATTATTCATGCACTAAAGAAAAGCTAGTCGTTGTTTCATTCGAGCAGTACTCTCAGCAGAGTAGACCCATGTTTTCTTCCATATTATACTGAATGATATATGGCGCCATCAGAGGTACATGATAATAATCCAAGGTTTTTTTTTCAGGATATTCTAGGAACAATGTAAATTATTCCAGATTGCACTCAGCATCTTGGAAGAATTACATGTTTGCTTGTAGAGCACCCAACTGTGTTTATTCTCCATCAGTCAATGCCTTCCCAGATATATGAATAAAGGAAATATTATAATAGTACTGACCTTGACTTGTGACGCAGAGGGTGTGGGCATCTCCTGAACCACAAGCGACTTTAACCACGTGCTGTCCAGCCAATCCGGCCACCATTGTTGGAACCAGACAATCCTCGCAAGTTCCATGGCCTAGGCGACCATAATAACCCTTACCCCAAGTGAAGAGGGCGCCATTAGCAGAAATAGCGGCACTGAAAAAGATCGTAGGCCATGTAACTCAGGGCTTCCACCAATGTATTTTCAAAAATTATGTTTCAAAATTCCACAAAATGTGGTTATAAAAGGTGTCAAAAAGTCAACATCATCGATTGGAAGGCTGATAGGCCAGCTTATGACTAACCAAATCATCAAATATGACCTCAGTAAAAAGTTTGTGAAAATCGACCGCTTGGATCCGTTTTTCGAACGTTAAAGCTACAAAATTTTATGTCTCAATGGGGAAGATTCCTATAATTAGGTTTTCATCTCACTGTGAAGTTTGTAAAAAATTAATATATGCGTATTTTTTCTTTTTTTCGTAAGGTCAAATTTCACTTCAGCAAAAATTAAAAAAATAGGAACTTGACTCCCCCACCATTCCTATGACTACTTTCTGAAATCCACATTCACATAAGGTGCGTTCGGTTATAACATATCTGTTAGCTCGATTCCATCTGTTAGCTCGGAAAGCGTTCGATAAATCAGATCTACTTCCTCTGTCTAATCTGCTCCGTGTTCGTTAATTGTCAGAGCGAGCTGAAAGATGTAATCTGTTTGCTCCGCCTTGAGGAGCAGATCATTCAGATTTGATCGGTTATTCGGTTGTCAATTGTCAACAAATCAATGTCAACAACATGTTATTGAAATTATATCTCTTTTATGTCGAAAAATTGGAGACTCGATCAACTGAAAACGAAATACGAAACTGAATTTTGTAGAATCCTCCTTGCCCAGAATCGCCAGAATGACCGACGAATTTGCTGTAGGTAGCATATTAATTATATATCTGTAATATATGCGATCACAACTGCCCTGGATCCACAGTTAATGACCGATCATATGAGACAGAATCATTCCTTCCCTAGTAATTTTCAAAATATAAATAACAAACATTCAAAAGAACTTTGTTGCCCTGACGTGTTTTTAAAAGTAATAAGGTTAAGTGAATTGTTTCTGTTTTCTGTTACTTCTGACAGCTGGCGCTCGCAATCTACTACCTCGTTGAGCGTTCGTTAAATACCATTAGCTCTATCTGCTAGGTGATCACGTGACACCAAATCTGCATCTGCTCGCTCGGCTCCGATTTTGTTAAACCGAACGCAGCTATAGAGTTGAATACGATTCCCTGTACCAGTACGACGTTGCCGATATCATCAATATGTCTAGATTTTCGGAAATTGTTCTTCGAATGCATAATAACTATATCATAACAACAATGGATATAATATGTTCTTCAATCCTACTCGTATGAATCCAATCTTCTTGCATTCTTTTAGAAATTTCACGAGTAGTTCTATTAGCTCCAATTTCAGAAGAAATTCGGATGAGAATTCAGAGGAATTTCCAAATTTCAAAAATGTAAACTATATGTAAGTGACTATAGTAGGTACTAACTTGTAAATCATATTGTACCAACCGGATTCCTTCTTCTCCCGCTGCATTTTTTGTGCATTGTACAACAGCACAATGTGATGACATGCGCGAATTAATGAATAGCCGAAAAACACGATTCGTATGGCAAAATAATTGTGGAAAATTATTTCAATCACTTGTAAACAAATAAGAAAAGTGAGGTTGTGTTTCAATGGTTCACCTCCAGGGTCGGTCATCTGACAGTTCTTGCATGCAACCCATTGATTGACAGGTTACTTTGTGCAGAGTGAGATTGACATGTTTTCTAATCTTGAACCATTGAATGTAGCCACAAATTCAAACTATATTTTACTATTCCAGTTCATCCAAATCAGGCGATAATTTCTACAACTTGGTTTGCTTGATAAAAAATGTTACTCGAGTTGATTGAAAATTCCAAACATTTCAAATCTTTACCTATAAGTGGATCCACATTCAATATCAATTATATCCTTATCAACCAGAGCTTGAATCAGGGATGGTTCTTCTTTGAAATTCGTATCGCCATGTCCTGAAAAAAAGGCGATCGTTCAATGTTTCATGTAATAATAAACTTTTCACTTTATTACCCAGTCTTCCTCCATCTCCGATTCCCCACGAATATACTTCAGAATCTATGGTGAGAGCCATGAAATGTTTTCCTTCAGTGTGAGTGGCAACTTTTATTATTTCCTTATTTTTCAAACCTGAAAATTGTGAAAAACTATAATTATTGTTTTTCTTTTTCGCGCCTTTGTCGAAGTCATTATAAAATCCGGATACGTGTCAAAACAAGTTCAATTTTGATTAACTATTTTCATTCTGAAAATTCTTTTGAGGTCGGTAACAACAGTGTAATTGTTGAATGTGGATAATTCAATACCACTTCAGTAGTCTATTGTGTAATACCAAAGAAGAGAAGATTTGTATTTCGTGCAAGAAATTTATTCAAAATATTCGTAGCAGAGCGGTTTCGACTGTTAAGTCATCATCAGTGCGTACTCGTCAGGTTAACAGGGAAAATTCGTCCATAAAAATATCTTTGGTCCAGTTTAAAACTAACGACATTTAAGTAAAATACGTTACAAACAAATTAAAATGTGTAATAAACTGATTTATATTTCTGAGTTCTCATTTGTTCCGATATTCACAAAAATATACCCAAAAATTTACAGGGTGGCTGGAATTTGAGCCTCATCATTGAAATCTCCTAAACCGTAAGAGAAACAGAGTCGGTTGAATAATGGCAAAGTTGGGCAATATTATGCCTAACAAAATGCCGTTTGAACTTTGAAAAATTCCGAATACTTCCAAAGATTTTTGAAAAAAAAACGAATATTCGCGATTTCATTTTTATTTTGTATTACTCTATTTGAATAGATGTAACAGAATACATTAGACATTCTCATTGCTACTTTTTCTGTTATCAGATTTTTGAACGTTTCGTCTTCGAGCTGCCATCATCACCTTGTTTTTTTATATACCACCCTGTCTTTTATTATGGATTTTGAGAGCTTTCAATCTCCTGAAATCAACGGTCTATCGAATTTATTCAAAAAATGTTTTCTTTGTTTCTCTCTAACTCATGGAAAATGCCATCAATATCAATTTTTCCTGCAATACACCGTTGGTTTCGAGAGATCGAAAGCTCTCAAAATTCGTAGTTAAAGAAACAAAGTTGATGATGATAGCTCAAAGACAAAACGTCGGTTTGAAAATCTGATAACAGGAAAAATAGCAATGAGAATGTGTATAATGTGTTTTGTTACATCTATTCAAATAGAGTCACAACAAATACAAATGAAATCGCGAGTATTCGGTTTTTTTCAACAATCAGTTACGTTTGTGCCCCTAGCAGTTGTGGTTCGTAGAAGCACCTTCGTAGTTTTGAAACCAATTTTGTATTGAATAACTCTTTTTCAACATTCAAGTTTTGCTTCAAAAAAGATGAAAAATGGCCTACTCAATTGGGGTCACGTGACTTTCGCTACATGTCAAAAGTGACATTTTTTCAAATTAATCGCTGAAAGTAGGCTTATTTGTTCGAATATCGAAAAAGTTTACTTGAAAAAGTTGTTTCTATTTCAATTTTACATATGTTACTCGGATATTATCTTTCTATTACATTTTTTAAATTTCGATATTTTTTAAAAATTTTCGAAATTTCTGTAATATTAAAAAAATTGTAAATTCGATAAAATCACTTCATACCAGTAGCTCCATCATGCTACTAACTTTCAATTACAAATTATCACTAATTATCGACAAAAATATGATTTTATTCAGAAAATGATAATCTCAGCTTCAAAATTCTGTTATGTTTGATGCAAACATAACATCAAAATGCTGTTATGTTTGAGTCAAGCATTTAGAAACGAAATTCATTTGAATTTATTTTTTCTGTACTGAAAAGATCAGTTTAAATGAATTTCGTTTCTAAATGCATGACGATATATCAACTTTGCATCAAATATAACAGAATTTGGAAGCGGGTATTATCATTTTCTGAAGAAAATCATATTTCTGTCCATAATCAGTGATAATAAGTAATTGAAAGTAAGAAGCATGAAAAAGCTACTGGTATGAAGTAGTTTCGTGAAATTAACAATTCTTCAAATATTACAGAAATTTTGAAAAATTAAAAAAAAATGAAAATCTAAAAGTTGCAATAGAAGGATCAAATTTGAGAAGCATGTGTAAAATTGAAATAGAAACAACTTTTTCAAGTAAACTTTTTCGATATTCGAACAAATAAGCCTACTTTCAGCGATCAATTTGAAAAAATTTCACTTTTGACATGTTGCGAAAGTCACGTGACCCCGATTGAGTAGGCCATTTTTCTCTCTCTCACTCAACGTCCAACTCGAATTCCAAAATAAGACATTAATACAAGTTTTTCCCATATGATGCCGACTTTATGAATGACACTGTATAATGATCTAGAGATAGAGAAAGATAATTTACGGTATGAAAATATTCAGCAAGAATAGAAAGATAAAGTCCGGTAGGAAGCTGACTCTGCATTCTGGATGTCATCGCATTGTCTCCATAGACAGGTCCGGCTTCAGGAACATAACTAATCTTTGGAAGCATTCGGAATTTTTCAAATTTCAAAACGGGCCTATATCTCTTACGGTTTACAAGATCGCAATGATCAAGTGTCCCCTTGAAAATAAAATCGACCTGTTTTTTCGATTTCTCATATTATTCACTGTAAGCAAGATATTGAGGGTGGGAAATTTTCAAAATGTCCCCCTGTATATTCATTCAATGACAAAAACAACTATACCTTCAACAATTTGAGGACACTGGGTCTCCGAAGTGTAATACATGTAGTACACCTTCCCGGAACAGGAAAGGATCAGTATTCCTCTCTCTGAGCAAGCCAGCTGCTTGATCGGCAAATCGGATAGGGCTTCGCAATTTTGGGGACCTGCGCTGGGTGCCCACGATAGCCATCCCCAACCCCAAACTTTTTGGCCGTTATGAGAAGACGACTAAAATGAATGGGATATCCAATAACAATAATCCTTAATATTCCCAAAAACATGCATTTATCAATGGGTTTTTTTCATCTCTTGGAGCGCACGAAAGGAAATTCCTATGATATTCGAGGAAAACATAAACTAATTATGTCAAGAATTGTAATTCGGAATAGTTATCTATTACTAATTGCAGAATTACGTCATTTGGCAGGTCGTTGGAGGGCAAACATTGTCATATGAAACCAGAAGTAATAGGATCGTTTTCCTTGGAACTTGAGTTGGAACCCAAAAGAATTTCATGATTTTCTTTGGTGAATCTGATTTTATGTTGGGGATGTGTACAGGCATATGCTCATTAAAGTTAACCTAACAGATATTTTGTGTGCCCTCCAACCTGTCAAAATCACGTGGTATAGATTGGTCAATACTATTCGCGGGAATCAATGGTTACGAGGTGGCGCTCGGTTTTCATCGTTCCATGTCAAAGCCACGTCAGAACTGGGGGAAAACAAACTCAATCCTCACTTCAATTGACTCAATCTCATTATTGCCATTAGCTTGTGTACTGTGTACTGATAAGAGTGGTTTTTAAATTTCTTGACATTAATTGTCAATATTCGATCGAAAACGCTAATGATGCCTGTTGTAGATGTTCTTTTGGCAGATATTTTGCTCTATTTAGATGAAAAAAACCGACCAGTAGTGGAAGGAGAAGCAGTTCTCCGTGCTAATCATGTGATTTTGTGTGAGGCAGACGACTTCAACAGAAGGCACATTTTTGCACTTTTTCTACAAACTTCGCAATGAAATCTTCCCTACATGAAGTAAAATTGAAGTTGGGGTCCAGATGAACTCCTGTAGAACAATGGATTTGTATTTGTTCATGCAAAGCAGGACAATCTGGGTATTGTAAACATGTTGTAGCTGTTCTTTTATATGTCAATTGATTTGCTCGTCATAATTAGTTTGAATTGTTTGAACTATCTCCAATTTTTCACCCGTTCACTATTCACTAAGCTAATAAGATTGTAATAATGTAAAAAAATTAACCAACTCAACCGTCATCACTATACCAACAGTGCCATCACTTTATGTCATTGACAAGCTTCAGCAAGCTGAATGCAATGTAGTCTATGCACTCTATCCATAGACAACAGTTTGTTTTCCCCCAGTTTGAAGTTCGTATTATGTAACCTAGATGTCGCCTACTTCGTGAATCTCGCGAATGCTAATATTATAAAGAGGAAAGATTTGTTTGTTTTTTGTTTGTTTGTATGTATTGAATAGGCTCCGAAACTACTGGATCGATTTGGCTGAAAATTGGTGGGGAGGTAGCTTAGAACCTAAGGAAGGTTATGGGATACTTTTAATCCCGGTACCATTAGGAAATTCAATATGGCGGATCTAATAAATCGGACGAGTTTTGTAATTATGGTCCGATTCTATTCAAAATTAGTATCTGAGGGTTTTCGGGGTCGGAGATTATGATTCTTTCGTCAGAATTTGAAAATTCGGGCGGAATTTAGGAATTCAAGATGGCGGAACCAATATGGCGGACGAGTTTTGTAATTATGAACCGATTCTTTTCAAAATTGGTACCTAGGAGTTTTCGTGATCGGGGATTATGATTCTTTCGTCAAAATTAAGAAATTCAAAATGACGGATCGAAAATGGCGGATTTTGTAATTAGGATCCGATTGAATTCAAATTTGGTATCTGGTGGTTCTCGGAGTCGCAGATTATGATTCTTTCGTCAAAATTGGGAAATTCAAGTAATAATAGTGTCTTACATTGAACTGAAAAAATATATTATAGAAATAAAATGTATATAGCAAAACAACGTTTGCGAGGTCTACTAGTTTGTAACTAAAGTGAGGACCCCCCCAATTAATCAGCTTCAAGTTATTTGGTAGTGAATTGTGTTGTATCAATCCATACAGATAGATGAATTTTTCACCAACATCTGATTTAATTTTCTTGACAGCAAAATGATCTGCTTGTATGGTTGTGATGGAATGCTTTTGGCAATGTTCAACTGGTTTTCAGTAGGTTCCAAATAATTTAATTTGTATATACATTTGATAATTTTATTCTGAAGAGTTTTGAGATACTTGTCAAGTTTTTTTACAATTCATCAGTACCTACTTACGTGTTTTTTGCCATCAATATTATTTCTCTGTGTCATATTCAATACTTAACATTCTAAAAAATTTCATGTGGATTCATTGAAATCCTAAATTTGACTCATAACTCTTCTTTAGACATTGTGCTTCTGTTTCAGCTAATATAATAATAATAATAATGAAGTTTATTCCAAATGTTGACATAATATAAATTAAAAGTATACATATTGGTATTGAATAAACAAAGAAAACCTCACGAAGTATAACTTGTTGTAAGGTATATAAAATAAAAATTATGGTTATTGAATCAATTAAATAATTCCAGACAGAAGAAATTTATAAATAAAAATAAATTGTTGTTCATTCAATCATTGGGTATAGGTACAATTCAGTACTGTTTCAAATTTCCTATGAATAGATATTAAATATCAACCAGAGATATATCTATATCTATTTATAGGTTATTTGAAATAAACTCCTAGAAGAGACTAATATCCAGATTTTAGTTCTGTAGCAATAAAAGGGTTTTACTTCTTTAATATCACGATTTTTTTAATTTAATATCATTTCTGTTTTTGAACATGTAAGTTGATGAAAAAAAATGAATATAAAGCTGATTTATATCCATCTTTTGGGAATCTTTGTATAAAAGGTCAGTTGTTGGGAATAAAAAATCTTTTTCATAAATAATTTTCAAATTTCATTTTTGAATAACTTTTTTTCAAATATATTTGCTTTACTCCTCCCCATCCATGCTCCAATTTACCTTGTTGAATGATGACGGTGGTAAATGTGGACTTGCCAATATGTCCAAATGAGACATCACAATGACAGCTGCTTGTCTCAAATCTATTTCACAAGTATCTTCCTCAGGCAGTTCCAATAGATCAAGAAGTACTTTGGTACTGCTACAGCTCTCCTCAACCTCATCTTTGTAGGCACAAACTGAACTAGATGGTTCTACTTCACATAACCTCTTCAGGAAAGGCAACAGTGGTGCACTGGCCACATATTCAGTAGATCTAAGAATATTTTCATGAGTTCCTAGTGATTTGAAAGCAGGCTTTGGTATCATTTATGCATACCTGTTGTCATTCATGTGTGTTTTCTTGTCCCACAATATCAGCAGCAAAATTACAATATCTAGTATACTACTTAAAGTGCCTTTCTGAAGAGCAAATTCCAGAAGCAAATTCAGAGAAGTGTGTTGATCTGTCACAGGAACATTGTACTGTCTTTCAGTGGTGGTATCTCTGAAAGAAATCATTTATTTGTTGTCACCAACAAATGGTGATTTTACAATTCCTCATAGCCAAATGGTGAATGGGAAATCAAGATGAGCTGATGAGCTGATGTATATCCTTCAGAAAAGTGATAAAGTCAATTGAGATCTTACAAAATTGAGCAATAAAAAATATTTATGAAATAATAATAATAATAATAATAATATTTATTTCATTCTTTGCTATAAACATTACATTGCATCTCATATAAATATAAACATATTTTATTAAGATTTACAATGAAATAAGATTAATAATCAGACAGATTAATATCTGGTATGAGATTATTCATTCTTTATTAAATCTAAGTTATTGAAATAAACAACAGATCCAAAAATAATAATTATAAAATAAAAAGCTCATGAAAAGTACATTATGACACGATGAAATGAATTAGTGAATGATAAATCATTCACTCAGGTTTGATTTTCTCTTTGCAAGAGGATAATTATGTTTGTTGACTTTAATTTTGAATTGGGTGATATTTGTGCAACTTTTAATATCAGGTAATTAATTGAATTCTGAGATAGCTCCGTGAGTAAACTTTTTTTGGCCAAGTGTAGAATTAGCAGCATCAAGATGAAACAAGTCATATTGTCTAGTATTATGTTCATGGATTTGAGAATTCCTTACCAATATGGAGTTAGATTTGAGGTGTTTGTTGATAATATCTAAAGAAATTTTGACAGTATTTATCAGATAGTGCTCGTCTAAAGAAAATGTATTTGTTTATTCATATAGTTGATTTGATGGGGTGTCATGGAAGACAATACAGTACTTTTAATGCTTTTTTATATTTATTATTTATTATTTATTTATTTATTCTCATATGAATACATTTACAAAGACATACATATTCTAATATTATAAAAATTCTAAATTTTATCTACTTCACATAGGTTATTGACCTGTGTGTGAATTAGATAATTATTATAAACTTTTTGTAAAAAATTTTCAAGTTCTTAAAAATATTTAGATTAAATATTGATTATAAATTCAATATATACAAAGCACACAAAAAAAAAAAAAAAAAAAAAAAAAAAAAAAAAAAAAAATTATTTGAAGAGATTATCAATTTCTTTTGCATTATCCAAAAACCAAATTTTAATTTTTTTTTTGAATGTTACAATATTCAAACGTCTCAATTTTGATGGAACTCTGTTAAAAATTTTTGACCCAATAAAACTACTATGGTTTTGCATGATTTTGAGATTATGTTTTTCAAGTTGAACATTATCATTTCTTGTACAATAATTGTGACTAATTTTATTACTAAATGCAGTGTTTTTTTTCAAGAAATTCAATGATGCTTTATAAAATAATTGTTTGACATTCAGTATATGATTATCTACAAATAATGAGGATGATGGATAATCCAAAGGTTTGCGAAAAATTATTTTCAAAACATATTTTTGAATACTTAATAATGGTTTGAGATGAGTCTCATACATACCACCCCATCCAATGATTCCATATGACAGAATAGATTGAAAAAGTACATGATATAACATTATGATTAAATTTCTATTAACAATATTTCGTAAAAATCTGAATTTTGGAAGAGTACTTCTGAGCTTCTTAGTAAGTTCTGAAACGTGATGATTCCACTTTAAATGTTGATCAATATAAATTCCAAGATATTTAATAAAAGCAACTTTATTTATTTTGTGGGTACATGAACAATTCATTTTTGATTCTTTGGATATATTTTTGAAACAGTTTATATCATGAATTGTCAACTCTGTTATATTGTTTGGTTGTGAGTCTTCATAACAGGAGAAAGTCATGAATTTTGTTTTATTCAAATTTAAAGTTAATAAGTCAAAATCTAGATTATTTTTAACTATTGCTATAGCTTTTTCAGCATTCATGATTGATTCTGACCAAGTGTTTCCATTGACAATTATCATTGTATCATCAGCATATGAGAAAATATATCCTTCAATATTTGTTTTTAGTAAGTCATTGATATAAATAATGAAAAGAATAGGACCTAGAACAGTTCCTTGAGGAACACCACAAATTAAATGTGTTTTTATGCTGAACGTTTCTTCTAATTTTGTAAATTGTTCTCTTTCTGATAAGTAGCTCTTCAATAATTCCAAACTTTTACCACGTATGCCACAATTTTGAAGTTTTCTGAATAGTACATCATGCGAAACCGTATCAAATGTTTTTTTCAAATCGAGAAATATTCCTATTGTTTTTTTGTTATCATCAAGAGATTTACTTATTGTACGTGTAACATGATATATTGAATTTTCTGCCCCTATTCCAGGTCTAAAGCCAAATTGATGAGGGGCAAGCATATTCTTGCTCTGTAAAAAGTCATATAATCTATTTTTCAAACATTTTTCTAAAAGTTTAGCAATATTATTAATTAAAGATATTGGACGATAGTTATCACAAATATTTGTACTAGATTCTTTATGTATTGGAATAATTGTAGACATTTTCAATTTTTTGGGGAATATGCCTGTTTTAAAACTCAAATTGAATAAATGAGTAAGGACAGAAGAAATTTCTTTTTTTATATTTTTCAATATTTTGTTACTAATTTGATCCGGCCCAGGAGAACATTTATTTTTCAAAGAATTTATTAAATCAGTTATTTCAGTTTCTTCAATAGGAGTAAGATATAAACTATCAGGACAATGAGTTACAGCCAACTTTTGGTATCCTTCAGGTACCTCAATTTGTCTTGATAATTTTGATCCTATATTTGTAAAGTGATTTATGAATATATTTGCAATTTCTTTTTGATCAGTTGTGATGAAATTATTATTTTCATTATATAGTTCATGAATGCTCTTTTTAGATACTTTGTTTTTTCCTGTCAGTTCATTGACTACTTTCCAAATTTTTTTGATATCTCCTTCAGTTTTGATCACTTCATTTTTATAATACATACTTTTAACATGTTTTATTAATTTATTCAAAAAATTTCTATATTGTCTATAGAAATTACATAGATTCAAGTTATTTTTTTCTTTCATTACACGTTTACTCAACTGATCACGTTTTCTGATTGATATTATTAAGCCATTTGTAATCCAAGGTTTGAGTTTTTTAAATTTTGCAGATGTATTTCTTTTTTTGCAACAGTGATCAATAATCTCCAGTAGTTTATCAATGAATATGTCGTATGCTTTATCTACATCATTTTCTTGATAAATGTGTTCCCAATTTTGTGAATTTATAATATTACTCAATTTATCAAAATCAATGTGCGTTGTTATTATTTCAGATCTTTGAACATTTTTGGAACTTTGATTACTCAAGTATATTTGACATGAAACTGGAAAGTGATCAGTAATAAAGTTTTCAAATATGAAAAAATTTGATGACCGTATGTTTTTGTCATTTGCCCTTATAAAAATATGATCAATGCAGCTCTTTGAATTTTTATAAATTCTACTAGGTTTATTCAAATAGTAATTGAAAGAAAAAGAACTCATTATATTTAAATATTGATAACTAATTTCATCATCATTCAATATGTTAATGTTACAATCTCCTACAAAGATTTCATTCGTATCATTACAAATTGGTAGTAACTCATTGATTGCATTTAAAAATTGTTTAGAATCTGAAGAAGGTGGTCTATATATTGTAGTTAATCCAAAGTTAGAATTATTCATCTTCAAGTTCAATCTAATAAATCTGAAGTTGTAAATTTCTAAAATATTGATATTAGCACTTAAGTCGTTTCTTATAAAGAGCACTAATCCATCATTCTGACATAATTTTGAATTATTATAATAAATTGTATAATTTGGGATAGAATACATATTTTTATCAAGAATTTCCCATGTTTCAGATAATATGATAATATCAAAATGGACATTTTTTTGATGGAAATCATCAAGGAATATCAGAAATTCATCAAAATTTTTGTTTATACTTCTTATATTGAAATGTAAAACACCCAAACTGACATCAGAATTTTGGAAATATTCATTATAGTCAGTAATAAAATTGGTGGTACTATGCATTTTGGTTATTCAGAATAATCTGTATGTTCTCTACAAATTTGAATTTTTCTTGAAAAAATTGGGCATTCTTTGTCGTCACTTGGGTGCATAAAATTAATTTCTTTGTTATTTTTAGATTTGTCAAAAAAGCAGTTGATACATTTTGGTTTAGTATTTTTAGAACATTTGTTAACTGAATGATTTCCTGCACAAAAAGAACAAATTTCTTCTTTGTTTGTACAATTAGATGTTTTATGGCCAAATCCACAACATCTGTAACATTTTAAAATGTTGTGATCTTCTACTACTTTGCATTGACCCCAGCCAATATTAATCTCTCGATTAACTAATTTCCTGTATGTCCTTCCATTGGTTTCTGCATAAATTATCCATTTCTTGGTGAATTTAGATTGTCTGGAGTATTTGATGTCAAACCAATCATCTTCATCCACATTGTAGTTCAAATTTCTAATTTCTTCTAGCAGTTCATGATTCTCATAATTTCTTTTCAATCCCAAAAATGCAATTCTTGGTTTATTTTGTTTAATTAGGTCAACTTCATATTTCTCTTCTAACTTTGTTTTCATAATATCCATCAGATTTTTATTAGCATCTTTGGATTCTGTTTTGATTATAACATATCCCTTCTTTGTATTCTTATAACTTTTTACTGGTGCTTTTGCTAAACTTGGTATTATTTTTGTTTGTATTTCTTGATTTGTCTGTGTTATAGTCTGTGTTGAATTTTTTGGTTTGATGATGATTCCATGATTATTGATTGTTGATGATGTAATTAAATTATCTATTGGGATGCTTCTATTAGTCACTGATGCATGAGTTAATTTAGGTTCATTTTCATTAATTTTCAATGGAATATTCTCAATTTTTTGTTCTAAGTTTAATAATATTTCCATTATTAATGCCATGTTCTTCATATTATGTATAGTTGTGCTGTTATCAGTTTTAGATGATTTTATAAATGACTTACAATTATCACATAGCCATAATATTTTTTCTTTCATTGATAGAATTTTTTTCAATTCTTGCTGAGAAATATCAACACATTTGATATGGAAGCTATTTTCGCATTTTCCATTGCATACTATTTGAGATTCATTGGCACCAATCAATTTTAAGCATTTACCACATGCACATTGAGAATTTGGGGTTTTTTCACAATTTCCTTTTGATTTAGATGTTCCACATTCCAATAGATCTTGGGTACTAATAATGAAGTCTTGCAAATATTTCTTTATGTTCCCATTACATTCTGGATATTTTGGTGGATTGTATCTTGCTTCAGAATCTTCTTCATCACTATTCCAGTCTTTTAATGTTGAAGGAAAATCCTTTTCGTAATTAATTTGAAATTTTTGTGACATTAATTGAAATGTCAATTTTTTCAAATTTCATTCAACTGAATTTCTTACTATTCCACTTTGATTATTATCTTATACGAAGAACAATGTTTCGGTTATTATTCACAGTAATTTTTGTAATATTCGGTCTTGAAAAAGTATGAAAAATATTAATATAGTACAGATATTTTGTTGAAGTTATTCTTATTAATTGCACAGAAGATATCACACAAATGATGTCTATAAAAATTATAACATTATGCCCCTAAATGCTATTTACAAATATCAAGTATGTCTCATATATATATTCCGGGTGTCAACGAATCTATTGAACAAGTCATAACTTCTAGACCATCAGATGTATCAAAATGAGATATGGTATAGATAAATGGTATGTGAAGGGGAGAGTTCTCACATTTTTTTCACTTCCCGGTCACTTCTGGTTTCACCGGAAATGGCTCCGGTTCTAAATTTTTAAATGGAACACCCTGTATATTGTAACATTTTCGGATTTCTGAGACAATTCTAGATCAGAATTTGACATTTTCGAAAGTTTTTATGCCTACTTAATTTTTTCGGAGTCACTTTTGAAATTACATTTAGGTGGCCATGATCGGAAGTAAACTAATCTAAGGACCTCAGGTGATATCAGAAAATTAAAATCGTGAAGTTTTAGTGACAAGTATGATAGATATTATTGAGACAAGTTGGCAAAATTACATTATTATTTTTCAAATGGCAAGCACTTTCCGAAAAAAAGGATATTTTGACGAATCTAACGATACTAATTCATTTGCGATTGGATTACAAATAAGAACATAAATTAAATATTACTGACGAAAATACTTCATAATAATTTATTTACTTTTGTCAAGTGTGCCGAGGATAGGCATGAAGCATAATATTTTGCAGTTATTTCGATCAAGTCTTCTTGGGAGAACAAAACACTCACTTAGGTTATGACAGTGACATAAGCTTCAAGAGCAGAAGGTAAAATTTTGTCAAAAAATGGTCGCCATTTGAAAAATAATAGTTAGACACGAAAATGTAATTTTGCCAACTTGTCTTATTCATATCTATCATACTTGTCACTAAAACTTCACGATTGTAATTTTCTGATATCACCTGAGGTCCTTAGATTAGTTTACTTCCGATCATGGCCACCTAGATGTAATTTCAAGTAGGGATAAAAACTTTGGAAAATGTTACATTCTGATCTAGAATTGTCTCAGAAATCAAAAAATGATACAACATACAGGGTGTTTCATTTGAAAATTTAGAACCGGAGCCATTTCCGGTGAAACCAGAAGTGACTGGCAAGTGAAAAATATGTGAAAACTCTCCTCTTTACATACCATTTACATCTACCAAATCTCATTTTGATGCACCTAATGGTCTAGAAGTTATGACTTGTCTAATAGATTCGTTGACACCCGGTATTCCTAACAAATATAATATATGCCATTTGATGAAAAACATTAAAACAGCAATTTCCTCATTTTCAATTTTGGAGAGGTCTAACAATTATAATTTTCCAGAAAATAAACCTAACTATAAGAAAAACTTGATCCAAATAGAAAAGTGATTTGTTCCTTTTTTATATGAAATTTGATAAATGAAATAATGTCATTTTAAGTAGGTAGTCTTGTATTTATTAATTATCATTATCAACATTATGCCCCTAAATGCCATTCACAAATACCAAGTATGTCTCTATATATACCAAATCATTAATTCTAAGAGGCTATCTAACCTAACTTTCATCAGGAGAAATGATATTCATCAACATAGTACAAGACATAACAATGATTTGGAACCAATGAGGTTCTCTACAACCTCTGGTCAACACTCAGTATTTGTCAAGGGTGTCACTTTGTATAATGAGCTCCCTTCCCATATAAAATTTTGTCCAATAATGATATTCAAGAAAAAGTTGAAAAACTTCCTCAAACTTTATTAAACTAGAGCAAAATGAATAAATATGAAAACAAGTGTGAACAAGATGCTCTCCAATGCTGTAATAATGTAATCTTGACTGTAAGTGTAATACCTGTGGTAAAACTGTAGTTTTGTTTGTGCTCATGTAAGTTAAACAGCTTAACAGTGATATATTATGTACAAAAAAAGTAATGTTTTGTTTAAAGGAAGGACCTACATAAAAATGTAAAAATTCTTCATTGGTATCTATGATGAAAAATAATTTTTGACCATCCTAGAAAAATACAGGGATTCAAACTTAGAATGAACTGGAAATAAAAAACAATCTGAAATTATTTTAAAAATGGCTCCACTCTAACCTTTTATCAATAAATACCAGATAAACTGAATACATGATTTTTCATCCAAAAAATAAACAGAAAATTCGGCTCAATCTTCAAATAATCTGAACAGATAAAGTATTTAGGTATTTGGTTTGATGAAAAATTGAAGTGGGACAAACAATTTGATGTTCTGACAAAGAAAATATCTCCTATTATTGGTGTATTCAGAAGAAGTCCCAAGCTCAATATGAAAATTGTAAATATAAGTACTCTATTCACATATACTAAGTTGAATCAACTATTTAATAAATGTCTGGGGATCTTGTTCTAATAATAATTTTATTAAAATATCAACATTATATAGGAAATTATTAAAAGTACTGTATTGTCTTCCATATGATACACCAACAACTGAACTGTATGCTTTGACAAAAACATATTTTCTGACACTGAAAATTTCATACAATAATATAAATAAAAAATTGAAATTTGAAATCTAATATTATTTTGAAAATAAATTTTGAAATTCATAGTCATCAAACTAGACAATATAACTTATTTCACCTTGATGCTACTAGTTCTACACTTGGGGAAAAAAATTCACTCATGTTGCTTTATCTGAGTTTAATAAACTAGGTACCAGATGAAATTAAAAACTGCAGAAATATAGGTACATTTAAAAAGGAAGTAAAAAAACTGATCATTTCTGAGAGAAATGTTTTAAATTTATCAGTAAGTTATGTCCTTGACTAGAATTATTTTCTTTGTTCATTGATTGTTTTTTTTTTATTGTAATATCCTGATTTATTATTCATGTTCACTTCTATGCATGTTTATGTGATAGTACATAGATATTTATTACTTATTATTCTATAATTATATTCTTCCTCATACCAGAACTTGTTCTTACTGGAAGATTTTTTTTTTTTGAATTTTTTTTTTTTTAATAGTTACATTTATTCACAATTGGATATAATAATATATAATAATAATAATAATTTTCAATAGATTAAGAACATCCCTGATCAGCTAATGCTGGTCTTGGGATCATAATAAAATGAACTAGTGTGAAAATATTAAGGATTAATTTATCTAATATATATAAAAAATATGAATAATTTATGTAAAGATAAAAAAATATAACTTCTTTGAAATTTGAATTCTTCCAGTAATTATACAATGCAAATAAACTGTACAGAGACCATATTGGACATAAAAAATGTAAAATTATGAGTATATCTCTTTGGCATATTTCTTGAATATGGAGTAACTGTAACTTGCTTGATAAATAAATAATAAAATTTATTCCTAACAAATATTATAATATATGCCCTTTGATGAAAATCATTAAGATAGCTGATAGTTCAAAAATAAGAAATGGTGATGGCAACAGACAATTTATCAGTTAAAAATTTCCTCATTATCAATTTTGGAGAGGTCTCAAAGTTATAATTTTCCAGAAAATAAACATCACTAAAAGTAAAATTTGATCTAAATAGAAAAGTGATTTGCACCTTACCTTTAGATATAAAATTTGATAAAAGAAATAATGTCATGTTGAGTAGTAGTCTTGTATTTTTTCAACTCACCCTGTGATGACTTGCCTCAGAAATTTGGAAGACCTGTCCACCACTTCCAGCCAGACAGGTGAGACATTTTTCTGTGCAAAAAGAGTAGCAACTGGTAACATCCTTAGGGCTTCCAGAGATTCAGTCAAGAGTTCACTGCATATATCAGTGTCCTCCCCTAGTCTCCAAGCCCTCCTCAGAAATGCAAAAGAAAAATTGAGAGCAGCCCTGGAACCCACTTGTGCAAGGCTAGCAGCAGGATCCAACGGGCTTGGGAGAGTTTTTACCTTGACTGTGGCTTTAGAATTGAGTGATTTCAACTGTTTCCTAATATAAAAGCCATGTTCTAGCTCAATGGGATGTGGTATTCTATTCAGTGCAATGAAATATCTTTTCAATATAGTTAATTGATAATATAATCTAGTTGCAGATAAAGTGGTTTTTGCTACTTCTGAGCAAACTAATTTTTGTTCATGGTTCAAACTGAGGATACCTTGGGACAGCTCTTCTGTACCTGAAATAAGAAATGTAGGTAAACTACTGATGATGGTGATATAAATTCTCACTTGGTTGTGGGCTCCAGGCCCATTTTTCTGATAGAGATTCAAAACTGGGCAATTTTCTGGTACAAGCACATTCTTCTGCATCAAGTTTCTGACAGGGTTGGCAATTGCAACCACTTTCAGGGCCACAAATTCCATCACAACAAGTGCAAGTTAATACCTGTAATGTATAACCAACCCAATTTGTTTACTGATGAACAGGAAAAAACCGTTACTACTCACTCTTTGACCACAATAAAATTTCCCTAATTTTTGCTTGGCAATCACACCTGCACTATTGAAAAGACCAATAGAGAAATTCCCTGTCAGTTCACCATCAGTAATCAAACTATTCCAACTATTATTCAGTTTATCATGATCCATGAATAGTAATTCTAGATTTGTTTTCAGCCACTTGATGTCTAGACGTGGCTGGGGCCTCAGTTTTGCCTCAGGGTGAGACATACTTCTTCAGAAGATCAACTGCAAAGAAATTGATTCTCAATTACTTATAGGTGAACGGCAAATTGATGGACTTTTCTCATCATAAATTTGAAGAATTGACAACTAGAAATTTCATTAGAAATGTAAAATGTAATTTACCTGTAAAAAATATTATTATTTTCAAATGGTCTCATTGTCGTAATAATTTAATTATTATCTTATTATTATAACAACAGATAATAAATATCAATACCCAATATCCATGAATATCAGTACAAAAATTCAATATTCCACTATCCACTGACAGTGACAGTGTGAAAGCCTGGTAGCTCTTTTATTAAGGCTCTTTCACATTGCAAAAACGTAACGCATAGGCCTTACTTTAGTGGTAAAGTGGTTCTTAGCTTTTAACTGATTTAACCTTAGATCATACAGGAAGATTTAACCTTCTGCAAACAAATTCAATAACCCTGGATTCTATGATGGAAATATACGAAGCTTCCTAATACATGAATCTCTAATAGAAGGGCCACGTCTTTTTTTTCAAAATCCCCAGTTGCGAAAGTCGAAAACTCAAGATCTCGAGTTGTGAAAGTCGAGAACTCGAAATCCCGAGTTGGCAAAGTCGAGAACTCGAGATCTGGAGTTGTGAAACTCGAGATTCGGAATTGTGAAACTCGAGATCCGGAGTTGTGAAACTCGAGATCATGATTTCCCTATGAGATTATAAAAAAAATCGGGCATGATCTTTCTTCATCATATACCAGAGGTGGCTCGGAACCAATTCCCCCTCTTTGTCTCCCATGTTATTTTAAATTTGGTATTAATCAATATTTTTTCAAATACAAAGCGCGTACTAAAATACAATTCGAACTTAAAATTATTCATGGTTATAACATCTCAAACTTCCTGAATAATATTTAAAATCGTGTCAGTTCAACAGAATAATCCTCCCTCTTTCGCGGTCGGATTATTTAAACAGTCAAACTGACAGTCTCTTGTATTCATGCAACAAAATATAAGTTATCAATGTATACCTATAACCCGAATATTTTGAAGTAGTTTACAGTATCACTACTGATTATTATTATCTCCGTATGATTTTCATAGCAAAATACTACGTAGTGCGTAGTACGTAGAAAGTTGTATAAGCTCTTATCCTGCCGATAAGTTGAAAAGTATAACCAAGATCAGCAGGTGTTCAAAAAGTGAGAACTTTCAACTTCGCCCTGTATCTCAAAAACATGGAAGGACTGATAATTCTGTTTTCGGCATTATTCGTTTCACAGTTCTCGACGTTCCATACTCGAGATATCGTGTCCTCGACTTTCCCAACTCGAGATCTCGGGTTCTCGACTTATATTACTCGAGATCTCTGTCAAACATTGATTTCACTTTCAACTTTCAACAAGTTGTCATTTGTCATATAATATAACTCTAACTAAACTCTAACTCACTTTGTTATTATTTATATTTTTTTTATTCTGGGAATCGGGATTCTGGGATCTTTCAATTTTTATGCTATGGTTATTGTTATGCCCAGCACTTATGGCACAGCTTATGGAAATAAGAGAAAGTTAAATCTATACAAAAAAGAAACTTACCTTACCAAAGATCCAAAGATTATACTTATTCTACTACTACCTAGTTAGAGATTTCACTCATGAAGGTAATGAGTTTTGATTTTGATGATGTAATATATGGTCTGCTACCATCTATTGAAGTGTATCTAGTGTTTTTCATTAGTTTTTAGATATACAATGAAATTGGAAGACATGATGAATTATATCCCCAAATTTTGGGAACCCATGGACCTGCATTATGAGAAATACAGGATCATAATTTTACCTCCAAATAGTGATGAATATAATCATGTGAAATCACTCATACTAGGAAATTATTATGTTTGCATAGAAAATATTTATAGGGTTCAAAATCCTTTTTTATACACAAAATTCAAGCTGAAGGAGTATGAATTCTCCCAAAGAGGGCCATTCCAAACTAGAACACTTTTTCATGACACAGGTCGGGAAAATGTGGATTCCATATCTTGTTTCAATTTTGATTGGCGATATGGAGAAAGATTCATGTTTGGCCCAGGTGTTTACTTCTCCTATTCTCCTTTCTTGGCAAATAAACACTCTTCCAAAAATAATGGACTACTTAGGTCAATGTTTCTAGCTGAAGTCCTACTACAGAATGTTCAAACAATAAATGATGGTAGTGTCTTTTTGCCTGATGAGGGCTATGACACAGTATTGTGTCATAATGGGGCTACTTATGTGAAATATTTTGATGGGGATTATTACCCTCAGTATTTTGTAGATTATGTAAATATATGAATGAGAAGTAGATGATTTGAATGATATGAGTAGGTGATTGTTATACCATACCAATCTATGATGGTGATCTCAATGTTTCTCATTTTTCTTTTACAAGTCCAGTGTTTCATTTTGAATATTTGAGAAAGAACTGAAAGCAGATACCTAATTTTATGTTTGTTATCACTATCAAGAGTTCACCATTTTATGTAGACAGAATTTTGTCCTTGTAAAGTTTGAGGTCTATTATGCTATCTTAGGATTAGTGAAAAATTGAGTTTTAATATATTTTTTCACTGTTTTGTACCTTATGATGTTTTATTCAGGTCAGATTTCAGATTGAAAGCAGATGAGGCAGCAAAGACAGGTTCAAGGTAATGAAAGTTGCATAAATCGACATACTATATTTTATATTACAAACAGTAAAAACAAATAATATCATGAAGGCTGCTCTTGATACATCTAAACATCTAAAATAAACAGGGAAAATTAATTTTTGAATTCACCATAACCAATTTGCTCCAAATTCAACTATTGCATAATGAAAGTAAGTTCCTACAATACTTTTGGTCAAAATTGTCAAAAATGTTTGGCCAAGAAAATTCAACTGCAACAATATCTACTAATTTTGAGTAAACAAGAAATTATAGTGAACTCACTGATTATACAAGCTTACAGTTTGAAATAACAGTAAAAACATGTTTAATACTTGATGTGACATATTACATACTTTGAACTTGCTTTGAACATAGGAAAAGCGTATTTTTTCAGTACAATATTATAATAGTAACACATTGAATCAACATTTTCTGTCATGTCGAAGGAAATGTATATAAAAAAATGTTCTATGAACACATAGGAAATGTGTTTATCATGTCGGAAAATCAAGGACACATTGTCAACCCAGTCAACACACGGACATTCGATGGACATCCATTGGACGTCCATTTAGGATATTTGGGATATCCAGAGAATATCCAGTGATATTCGATGTATATCTTATGGACGTCCAATGGACGTGCCGAGTGGAAGGAGTTGGACTTCTATAGGATATCCTTCAGGGACATCCATAAGACATTTTTCAGGGATATCCATAAGATATTGTTCACAAATATCCATAAGACATTTTTCAGGGATATCCATCAGATATTGTTCACAAATATCCATGAGATATTTTTCAGGGATATTTACTAAATATCCTTAACAATATAGGACACCATGTATATCATGTTAGTTATGGAAAAATGAAAGCAAAATATAAATAGTTGATTAAAAAACTCGCGAAAACACACAACTACAACCGAAGTAACCACTGGAGCACTGAGAAAAAAACTGGGAATATCCGCAAATTTACCGGGAAAGATGAAGAAAAACCATATGAGAAAAACTATAAAACTATAAAAAACAAAGTTAGGTTAAGAAGCTTTAGCTCATACCTCATGAAAGAATTCAATTTCCCATGACTTTCGACATGGATGCATTTTTAGACCAATCAGAACGATTCTAGCCATGGAGGTTTATTCGAATTGAATTCAATCTTTTGAGAGATAAATAGAGGAGGCGAGGTGGCCGGATTTGAATCGCGTTATCCCTAGCGCAACAATGAAGCTATTTTCCGAAATGCTGTTAGAATTAGATTCACTTAGATTTTTCCATCTTTCTTTTGGAAAATTTGTCATTCACGCGAATGCCATATTGATTTATATTTTATTGCTTCAGAATATTTTATTACTATCCATTGGGAAAATACCTACCCAGTTTTGAATTCAGGGATGCGAATATATCTTCTTATGGATCTCCATCTCAATCCCAAGGAAAAAAATGGAGATACAAGTTATTTCTGAAAAATCATATTTTTGTGCGAAAATGTTGAAGAACAAAAGTTTATTTTGACATAAATATGATTTTATGTTTTCTTTGGATATCTTATGGCTATCCATATAAGATATTGTGACACTGCTTGGGGACTTGGGGCGAATTTATAGGCCAAAAGGTTCGATTTAGATGTTTAATGGTGAGTTGTAACAATGTCACGATGTTAAGTACAACTGCCGGTACAAATACATAAAATGCAGTTGCTTGAGTCGTTGCTTCCCCCGGTCCCCCGCACGCTGTGGGCATCTTGCTGACTTGACAATCTGGCGTATAGCTCGGTCATGAAGTGGGTAGAGACTGATATACAGAGTGTTCTATGTATTTTCGCGACACTCCCCCTTCTTGAAAACGTCGTCCCGACGTTTCGAACAACTGCAGCTTCAGCCCTGAGCGTCCGAAGTCCTTGGAAGCGACGACTGGCACTGTGAACAAAAAAAAATACACAGAAAATTGTTGTTCACATACCTACAAGTCCTTAAACTTAAAGAACATTATTCCTCAGGATTCTTGATGATCCTGGTATCGATTACATTTCCGCGAAAGCTTAAATTTGAAAGCTGCAAGCGATTATATAAAAATGAAAATAAACAATAACTTTCAAAATGCATGACGTTTTTTTTTTTTTTTTTCTAGAAATCCTATAAAGTTACTATAGCCTTCCTTGAAAGTTTCTGTATTGAGAATTGTTTCCCAATTATAATGATTGTCTCTCAGAACAATACTTTCCTAACCTAGAATCCTCTCAAATGTTATCAATCAACCAAAATTATTTCCCTATTTCTAAAATTCAACAACCTCCCAGGTTATTTTTTAAAACGTATTTTT